CCCGCCTCACGAGAATGCCCTCGACGATGTGTATGGCTCTGTGCCTTCGTCCCCAGTTCTCTCTACACATGCCCCGCAGGCACGGCGCCATGAAATTCTTTCCGATCTGCCCTCTCGTCAGCGCGCCCTGGATACGGATGCCTATCGAGAAGGCCTAGCAACTAGCAAGGGCCAGTACGTACAGCAAGGATTCGACGAAGGTTATTCTCTCGGGGCAAATCTTGGACTCAACACAGGCTACATCCTCGGTGTGCTACAAGGCTTCGTTGCTGCATGGAAGAACCGTGATCAACAAGTACACAAAGAAGCCGCGGAAATCTACGATACGGCTCGGGCCGAATTGGCCATAGAGCAGCTTTTAGGCCAACAATGGGTGGACGAGGAAGGCATTTGGAAATGGGGTGTCGTGGGCAAGGAGGACGATCCTACGTTTAGAGAGGTCGCCGCTCAGCATCCCGTAATACAGAAGTGGATGGACAAGATCCAAGAATTAGCTAAAAGGTGGAATGTGGATGTTGAGGCAGTAGACAAGATGCATGCTTTACAAGAACATGAGGTGTGAGAAAAAGATCAAAAAAATACAATCAAATACACGGGACTCAAAGTCCTCGAGAAGCAGTCTCTGCTCGGTCATTAAGTAAATCAAAGCCTATCCTTGCTCTTCGTCGGCCGGTTAAATCGGAGATAAAATCGCCTAGCACTGATGGTATAAAGTCCGCTTGAAGCTTTCGTTGCTGTTACAACATCACCTGTAGTATTTCCTTACTATGCACATTAGTACAGTAAATGCGGAGTCAGCTCTTTATCTTGTTCAATTTTTGTTTAACGCAATGTTATGTTGGTGCTGAGAAGTCGTAGTAAAGGCGGCTCGTTTTGGTCTGGGTTCTCCAGTTCCACGGATCGACCGAAAGCCTCGGAGGTTCAAAGTTGTTGCCTTATGGGCGCACGGACCAGGCAGCACCAAAAATGCCGTCATGACTATACGGCCAAAGATAAACTCCCGTTGCGACATGCTCACCATGCCAAATCTTACTCGTTTCGTTTTGCTTCAACTCTCCTCTTGACAGCCATGATACATGGCTTGTCTGCTCTTCACCGAGCACATGCACAAAACGCCACACTGCGATTGCTAACGTCAGCCACTTGCCCCACGCGCTTGTACCAAGCACAACTTGCGCGCCGTCTGCAGACACAAGCATGGGAACCATTGCGCCCCCCGAACCCTGCCGACCTGCCCAAACCCAAGCAGCGCAAAATCAAGCCCCCTTTCACTCGCCGAAAATGGGTGCGCCGTCTCGCTGCTGTCTCCGCACTGCTCGGGGCAGGATGGGCAATTGACCGGCAGTTCAATGCCTCGTCCATCACTCGCAGCCTGCGCACATTCAAGGTCGGCCTCTTGATCGGAATCGACTACAAGATTAACTTCCGTGCGCACCCACCGCTTGCAAATAGCATCGAGGATCTCCATGCCAGGAATGCGACAAGGATCTTTGATCTTCTGCGATACAATGGCGGGCTGTATCTGAAGATTGGCCAGGCCATTGCTATGCAGAGTGCCATCCTCCCGCCACAGTTCCAGAAGATGTTCCAGCAAATGTTTGACGATGCGCCGCAGAATGAGTGGTGGGAGGTGGAGCAGGTCATACGGGAAGACTTTGGCAAGAGCGTTGAGGAGGTTTTTGGCATTGGCTTCACGAAGCAAGATGGCCGAGGTATCATGGAAAAGACTGCCCGAGCTAGTGCAAGTGTTGCCCAGGTCCATTGGGCAAGGCTCGCAGATGGAAGAGAGGTAGCCATCAAGATCCAGAAGCGAGAGATTGCACAACAGGTCGGATGGGATCTCTGGGCTTTCAAGGTTGTCTCCAAAGTATATACATGGTGGTTCGGAATCCCCGTCTACACCCTCGTGCCATACATATCAGAGCGCCTAATGCTAGAAACGGATTTTGAAAACGAGGCAAACAACGCGGTAGAGATGAAGACACTGGTATCTGGAGAGCCGAGACTCAATGGACGAGTTTACATACCCACCGTTTACCGCGAGCTTTCCAGCAAGCGAGTCATGACAGCTGAGTGGATAGAGGGGGTCAGGTTATGGGATAAGGAGGGAATTACAAACAGCTGGAAAGGAGGATGGCGTCGTGGCAGCCCAGGCGCAGGCGGGGAACAACTACCGCCTATCCCACAAGATGCGCCAGTGGACACTCATGCTCCAGAAGATGCTACAAAGCATGATTTCTTCAAGCCGGACCGCAGCTACTGGCGGGGCAAGGACGGCAAGGGCGGTCTAGGTGTCTCTCTGAAGACTACGATGAATACCATTGTAGATCTTTTCTCGGCGCAGATGTTCTTATGGGGCGCTGTACACTGTGACCCACACCCAGGTAACATTTTCGTTCGCCGCCTTCCCAACGGAGAACCCGAAGTCGTTCTCATTGACCACGGTCTGTACATTCGCATGGATCCCAAGTTCCGCCTTCAATATGCCACGTTCTGGAAATCACTATTGGCTTTCGACAATGACAAAATCGAAGAGATTGTTAGTAGCTGGGGCGTCAAACATGCCGACATTTTCGCCTCTGCAACGCTTATGCGCCCGTACGAAGGCGGTGACAAGAGCGTAGCCGAAGTACTCAAAGCCGAACGCAAAGGCAAAGACCAAGCCGAGCGCGCTTTTGAAATGCAAGCCAAGGGACGAGATGCAATCAAGCTTATTCTTGGCGACGATGCCAAATTCCCACGTGAACTTCTCTTCATCGGGCGCAACCTGCGTATCGTTCAGGGTAACAATCAGTTTCTCGGCTCTCCAGTCAATCGTATCAAGATTACTGGCTTGTGGGCTAGCAGAGCCCTAATCGAAAGCAAGGATCTGGGTGTGGGTGAACGGTGGAAGAATTGGATTCAGCATCTGCGCTTCCGCTGTGTGTTGGCGCTCAGCGATGCAGTCTTCTTTTGGAGCAAGATTAAGCAGTTGATTGGCGTGGGTCGGGGCATGGAGGATGACATTGAGGCGCATATGCGTGTCATGGCCAAGGACTTTGGTGTCGAGTTGAACCACGGTGTGTTTGAGGGATAGACGGTGATGGAGATTTGTATGAATAGATGGATGATAATAACCGCTCTTCTAATTATACTTGTTTCATAGGACACATGTCCTTGAATGCGAGCCTCAGCGGTGTATGCCATGTAAGCGTTTCGAGCTGTCCAACACCATTACAAACGTCCAAGCTCGTGATGACGCGCCTCATGAATGTGCCGAGGTAAGTCGTAAAAGACGGTCAGATACCACCTTTCCACTGCAATACCATTACAACACCCATAGCCATCCCATCTCCCATAGGGCGCTCCACTCTCCCCTCATCTCACATTTCTCAACCAAACGTTCCGTCATTTTGCTCCACTTTCGACGCGTCCACGCGTTTTGCCGAACCTCGGCCAGAACGACTCAACTCGCTTGGTTCTTGCGGGGAAAAGCAACGGGGATTACTATTCATTCAGGGTCTATCACCATCACCACGTTTCCAAAGACCCAAGGGAAATCTCCACCTTTTCCGTAACCGCTTTAAGATAAAACTTGCTTCGTAAATCTTGGACTCGTAAAGGACAAAGAAAAACAATATTGACTGTTCATTATGTCTTCCCCACAATACTCGGATATCGTATTCGAAATCCGCAACCAAATCGGTATAATCAAGGTACTACCAATTCTCTTGTCTTTCCCCACATCTACAGGCATGTTTACTCTTGGGTGTAAATATAATTAACATATATACAAAGTTCAACCGCCCGAAAGCACTCAACTCCTTCGGCGGCAACATCATTCCCGAAGTCATTGACGCGCTGCGCGTTCTCAACGAGCATCCAGATACCATCTTCACCGTTTTAACTGGCGAAGGCCGGTTCTTCTCGGCAGGCGCAGATGTCAAGGCTGTTGCCGGGGTGGGTGGAGAGGCATTTAAGAATGAGGGTGAGAACAAGCTGGTGCAGTTAGGACGGTTTACTTATGGTAAGTTTGCTGAATCTGTTATCAAAAAAAGATAATAAATCTAACACGGTGTGTCTAGCAATTGAACTTCTACGCTCGATGATTGACCACAAAAAGGTTCTCATCCTTGCGCTCAACGGCCCTGCTGTCGGTGGCGGTGCAGCATGGTTCCCTGGTATCGCGGATATAGTACTTGCTTCATCAACGGCATGGCTTCAATGCCCCTTTTCTGCTCTCGGGCTCGTGCCTGAGAACGGATCTGCGCTATCTTTTGCCCAGCACATGGGCATCCATCGTGCAAACGACTTTCTCATGTTTGGTCGCAGGCTCACCGCGCAAGAACTGCTTGATGCAGGCTTGTACAACTATGTCTGGGACGCGACGGGCGACGAATTCCAGAAGAAGGTTGTAGATTTCTTGGAGGACCAGTTGAAGGTTAATGATGGCAAGAGCATGATTGAGATGAAGCGGTTGCAGAATGCTCCAATTAGAGACGCGAGGTTGATCGCGGTCATAAACTCGGTTGATGCACTTGCGGAGCGGTTTGTCGAGGGTGCGCCGATGAAGAGGTTTGAAGTTAAGAGGAGGGAGTTGGAGGAGAAGAGTAAGGCGAAGGCGAAGATTTAGAATGTAAAATCTGGGATCAATAGATGGGTTGGCGGAAGTTTGTAGCACATTTTGAAAGACCACACACAAAAGGTACACGAGTGGATTTGAGTTTCGTTCTCAGAGTCTGGACTAGGCTTAAACTAAGTCTTGGAGAATACATCAGAGTACATTTGAACGGTGATACAACAATCCCCGACAATACTCGTGTACTACCAGACGGCGCCCCGCTTTAACCTCCACCCCTGTCAAATCCGCAATCCCCCACATCTTTCCGACATTGCGTCAAGTCGCCCCGGGAGAACATATATCCAAGGTAGATGGGTATCCCAATCCTGCCGTACAAATAGCAGCCCGTCAAACTCAGAATCCCCGGTTCAAAACCCCTTGATTGAATAACACCATCACAATGGCACCAAACTGGGACAGACTCATCCGCTTCATTGCAACAGACGGCCGCGAGCTGCGGGGTCAACCAATCTTCCCCTCCGCGGACTTTGATATTGGAACGACAACCGAGGAAACAGGCCTAAAAGTCAAAGTCATCGATGTAAAAAACAATGACATCTTCGACCCAGCGACAAAAGTCACAGACGAAGAAGTGACTGTGAAGAAGCTTCTTGGTCCCGTGACGCAGGATGAAGTCCCCATCATCCGATGCATAGGACTGAACTTCATCAAGCACAGTGCGTTCCAATATTATTCCCAGAATACCCACATCATATAACGACTTACTGATCACTTGAGCAAACAAAACAGTCCAAGAAGGAGGCCGCACACTTCCCCCCTTCCCCTCCACCTTCATCAAAGCAAACACCTGCCTAACCGACCACAACGCCCCGATCGTCATCCCCAAAATCGCCCAGGACAACCAAGCCGACTACGAAGGCGAACTCTGCTTCATCATCTCCCGCGACGCAAAAGACGTCTCCGAGTCCGAGGCCTTCAACTACATCGGCGGCTACCTCTCCGGCAACGACGTCTCGAGCCGCAAACTCCAGCGCGACCCTCTCCTCGCGGGTACCGTCCCACAATGGAACTTTTCAAAAGGCTTCGACACGTACGCACCCTTGGGCCCTCAAATCGTCAGCACGGCCGTGATACCTGATCCGAGTGCTTTGCAGCTGCAGACGCGGGTGAATGGCGAGTTGCGACAGGATTCAGGCATTGATGATTTGTGCTTTAAGATTCCGACGCTTGTGGCGTATTGTAGTCAGGGGACTACGCTGAAGAAGGGGACCGTGTTTATGACGGGGACATGTGCCGGGGTCGGGTATGCGATGGCGACGCCGCAGTTTTTGAAGCCGGGGGATGTGGTGGAGGTTAGTGTTAAGCCGCATGTTGGGACGCTGAGGAATGTGGTTGAGTTTGCTTGATTGGGAGTTGGGAAGTTGGAAGGAGGAGGATTAGGGTGGTAATAAAGGAGTCATCTTGGGGGTGAGGACGAGAATGGTGTTCTGTTTTCATGGTTCGAACGTTTTACGGATAGCGAGCAGTGCACTTCCGAAGAGAGGGAAACGTCGTGAAAAGCAATAAAGCCTTGTCGGATGATGATCTCAGAGCACAGTGATCACTTCACCCGCGTAAACTGGCAAATGTCCAAGCCGCATAGCTAACAAGGGGAGCATGTAATTATGGCCTATCACCTCTTCAAGCTAAGACGGTTCCAGGCAAAAAACTGACAGATTATCAAATACCTAAACAAGCCCTAGGGTAACCTTCCCTCGGATCGAGCCAACGTCCCGACGTGCTAGAATACCCATCACACGGTCTACCCATGCGACATATGCTGTACGACAGGACGGACGATGAACTACACATCTCAGTTCCAGTCCCAACATCGGCATATCTACGGGAATGAACAAGGACGCAATCTCCCTGCCAGTGACCCACAGCAACAGTAACTTTGTACCTAAGATCGTCGCCGTCCAGCTCCTGCAGGGCGCTCGCCGACCAAAGGATCTGCGCTGTAAAACATGGGACCAACACGGAATGCCTTACAGACGGGCTGTATGTAATACGAGCACAATCACACCCGCTGCCCGGGCGGCAGAGGCGTGCTCTTGCACGTGAAGCGGACCGACTCTTTGCAAGGGGCGGCGGTCCCAGAACCGTTCTTTTAGTCGACCAAAGCAAGAACCGTCGAGACACACCAGCATACCACTCACACATAGGATATTATGAGAAGCAACCAGATGGCACGATCGACCTCGATCGATCACCGCCATCTCCCAGGTGTTCCCGGAGCGTACGCGCTGACCAACGGCACAGCCAGCCAGCCATCCAGCGGGGTCATACGTTGCATTTACTGACGTATGTACAAGTTGCATATATCCCTTGCACTATGCTATAATCATGCCACCACGCACTCACCGACGGGGGCAGCCCGATACTACTACCATCTACAATTGGAATGCCAAAGCCGATCGCAGGCACCCCTCGCCAAAGCCGTTGTACAATCGTGGGGGTTCCCATCACTTTTACGCGCCATCCATCCAACAAAGCGGGTAACGGTAACTCCAACTAAGGCTGGGCACACAAGCCCCTAACTGTGTACTAGCAAGCTACTTAGGGTTTCTTGGGACAACAAGGCTTGTTGATCGTCGTCCCCCCCCCTCCGGGCCCCATCGTCGCCTGCGGGTTGACCCACCACCCACAAAACGCTGCCAAGGTACCTAACCAACCACGAGAGCGCATTTCATGTCGTTTTCGCATTGCCCTTGCCCTCCCTAACCTGTTTTTGGGAGTTGTTCGCGGCAGGTTGACGATTTACGGGAACAGTTGTTGTTTGCCCTGCATGCTCGGGAGTTTTCTTTTTGTCTGTGCGGTGTGCTACTACTACTTTGCTTGATGACGCTTGGCCGCTGCCCGTTGCTGGCACATCCCTGGAAAAGTTACCACGGCGGCGGAGGCGGCGGAGGATGAGCGCACAAGTTGCTTGCAAAGAGACACATGTCAAAATCCTGTTGTTCGGTATGCGGATTCCTTTTTTTTTAGAAGGATGGCGTTTTTTTAGAGGAGCTGAATACGATGTATGTGTGTGTGTGTGGATGCGCGTATGTGCGTACATCATGTACACATTGTAGTCCACAAAAGGCAAGCCACGACGAGATCCTTCAACCGGGGCAACCCTCTCGAAGTAGCAAGCCGTAGTCACAAGGAACTCCAGTCTTACGCAGATAGCACTGATGATACCAGAAAAAATCCTAGAAAATGGAAAATCGCGCAAGCTTGGAGTTTTAGGCGGGAGGAGGGATGGAGGGGGGAAGCTTAGTCTGCCGTTTAAGAGTGTGGCTATGGCGGGCATTCGAAAATCGCTCATGGCTAACCACCAAGAGTTTGGACTCGACCATCTTACCGGAGTAGCAACGATGCCGTGGCATTCGCTGCCGTGGAAAATGTGACAGTCGCCTGTAAACTAGGCACGCCCCTGCTCCGCTTCTTTCGCTCCTTTTTCTCTCTCTATTCTATCAAATGTGGTGAGGTATTTGTGCGTCCAATCGCGCCGAGCGGGCCCCAGGGAAACAGGCCCTTCAAGCATGTCATCTGCGGTTGCTGGTATGCGGGCTATGCCTTGCTTGGAGCTTGTAATCATACAGGCGGACTTCGAAACAAGGACAAGGACAAGACAAGCGCTCGTTGCGATTCTGGGGCCTGTTTTTACCTTTTGGGGGCACCCCCCCACGGCGGAATACTAGTAGTAGTAGGATCAGAAAAGAGAAGGGTAAGCTATCCCGATGCTGGGTTGGTTTGGTTGTTTGCATCACATATAAAATAAGCTCTTTCACATAATTGACCGAGAAGCCGTTACTTTTGAACTGAACGCGTTTCCCATTCTCTCTTCTCCTTCACCTCTTCAATTGTCCTTACTCTGAGAGCCGAAACCTGTTTTTTTTTTCAAAAAAAACCCCCAAAACCGCGCTCTCACTCCCCTTCTACATGGACAACGAAGAGAAAGGAATCCCCCGTGTTCGCTTTGGGGAACTCAATCTCCCCGCCGAGGCAGATGGATACGTGACACACGACCGGCGCCATGAGCGGCCGTTGTCGAGACGCTCCAGTGTGGGCAGCATGTCTATTCGCAGCGCTGGCGGAGCCCGTACGGTTCAGCCAGAGACTGCTCTGCCCATCGCCTACCGCACACTGTCTATTGAGGTTGATGAGCGTCAACTTGAGAAGCAAGCCGAGACAAAAAAGGCAAAGGAGAAAGCAGCAATTGGTGATTAAGCCTTGTTTTTATTTGTCTTGCGATATGATGTACTGATCCTGGATTGCAGATGTGGCGGGCCTGGAATGGCACACGCTTGCTGTCCCCGACCTGTGTCAGCGTCTGTCTGTCAACACTGAGTGCGGTCTCTCCGACGACGACGTCAAGCGGCTCAGGAACCAGTATGGCCTGAACAAGATTACTCCCCCTCCTTCTGGACTCGTGGGCAAGCTGATCGGATACTTCTTTGGTGGTTTTGGAAGTATCCTGATCGTTGCTGGTATCCTGGTATTCGTCTCCTGGAAACCACTGGGTGATCCCCCAGCGACCGCTAACCTGGCGCTTGCCTGTGTGCTGATTGCTGTCTGGCTCATCCAGGCGGGATTCAACGCGTGGCAGGATTGGTCGACGAGCAAGGTCATGGCTTCCATTGGCACCATGCTTCCAGATCAGTGTATCGTGGTTCGTGGCGGCTCGCAGACGAGCATCTCAGCTCAGGACTTGGTTCCTGGAGATGTCATCGTCATCAAGCAGGGAAACAAGCTTCCGGCAGATGTTCGTTTTATCGAAGTCTCTGGAGATGCCATGTTTGATCGCGCTATTCTTACGGGTAAGTTGTTGTTGTTGTTCTGCTATGTGTATCTGTGTGACAGAGACTAACCTCCTCGCAGGTGAATCCGAACCAGTCAATGCTACCGTCAATCGAACCGAAGACAATTATCTCGAAACTAACAATATTGGTCTGCAAGGAACGCATTGTGTTTCTGGTAGCTGTATGGGTGTCTGTGTGGCAACTGGTGACGATACGATTTTCGGCCGCATCGCAAAGCTCACTTCGAATCCTACGACTGGCATGACCCCGCTACAAAAGGAGATTTGGCACTTTGTACTTATTATTTCTGCCTTTATCTTCTGCGTTGTGGTTTTTATCATCATTCTCTGGTAAGCTCTTCTGGTTTGTCATTGTATCAAGGATCTATACTTACACAGTTTAGGGCCGCTTGGCTGCGAACAGCGCATCCTAAATGGATTAACGTGCCCCAGCTCATCGTCAGTTGCGTTTCTGCAGCCGTTGCTTGTATGTTTATCCCAGATACCAATTTTTTTGAATACACACTGACTCTGCTTCCTGTCTAGTCATCCCCGAGGGTCTCCCCATCGCGCTCACCACGAGCTTGACCATCGTCGCCAACATGATGCGCAAGAATAAGATTCTCTGCAAGTCCCTCAAGACTGTCGAAACACTGGGCTCCGTCTCCGTCATCTGCTCTGACAAAACCGGTACTTTGACCAAGAACAAGATGGTGGTTACTGATGTGTGTTCTGTGGATAAAACGTACACTGTCGATGCAGCGCTCAGAGAAATGGCCGCGGCTGAGTTCGTAACTAATGGTACAGTACCGAAGCCTGCCGCTATCGACCAGATCCGCATCGTCGGTGGTCTCTGCAACTCTGGTGAATTCGACGCCGCGACCATGCACTTGCCTATTGCTGATCGCAAGATCAACGGCGACGCAACAGACCAAGCTATTCTCCGACTGTCCGAGTCCTTTGGCTCCATCAGCGAGCTCCGGAACCAGTGGAAAAAGACTTTTGAGATTGCCTTCAACAGCAAGAACAAGTTCATGGTTAGAATCATGGTCGCTGCTGATCAGCCCAGCACCAGCAGCGTCGGTACCCTCCTCGTCAAAGGCGCCCCGGATATCCTCCTGCCCCGCTGCGAACTCGCTCTGAACGAACAAGGCGAAGAAGTCGTCATGTCGGATCTCAAACGCCAGTGGATCGAAGGTGTCAAGGACGACTGGTCGCGCCAGGGCAAACGTGTCATTCTTCTCGCACGCAAGCCCACAATTGTCGCGACCTCTGGAGCTCAAGAAAAAGACGTTCTCGCCTCGATCCGCGACGGTCTCACATTTGTAGGCATTGTCGGCATTGTCGACCCTCCTCGTGACGAAATCTCAGACGTTGTGCGTATCCTCCGTGGCGCCTCGATCCGCATCTTCATGGTTACCGGCGACTTCAAACTCACTGCGCAGGCAATTGCTGAGGAATGTGGTATCATTTCCAACTCTGCCATTGTCGATGATATCTCTGCTTTGGATCGCTACGGCAATTCTACTGGCAAGTCGAAGCAGGCGATTGTCTTGAGTGGTTCCGAACTTATTACACTTAACGAGGCTCAGTGGGACCAGCTTTGTGCGTACCAGGAGATTGTGTTTGCAAGGACTACGCCCGAGCAGAAGCTTCGTATCGTCAAGGAGTTCCAGGCCAGAGAGAATGTTGTAGGTATGACAGGCGATGGTGTCAACGACGCTCCCTCGCTCAAAGCTGCTGATATCGGTATCGCTATGGGCGGTGGCTCTGACATTGCCATTGAGGCTTCCGACATGGTTCTTCTTGACTCGTTTGCCGCTGTTGTCGAAGCAGTCAAGTACGGCCGCCTTGTTTTCGACAACCTCAAGAAGACTATTGTGTACTTGCTGCCAGCCGGTAGTTTCAGTGAGCTCTGGCCTGTCGTTACCAACGTTGTCTTCGGCATCCCGCAGATTCTGTCTTCTTTCCTCATGGTAATTAACACATTTCAGAGCTTTTTTTCTCTCAAAGCAGACAAGCTAATGTTTACCAGATCATCATCTGCTGTCTCACCGATTGCGCCGCCGCCGTCACACTCGCATACGAGAAGCCAGAAGCCGACGTCCTGGTCCGCCCTCCCCGCAACATCAAAAAGGACAAACTCGTCAACGCCCGCCTCATTTTCCACGCCTACTTCTTCGTCGGTCTCCTACAATGTTTCCTCGCCTTCACAATGAGTTTCTGGTGGATCGAGCGCAACGGCATTCCCTTCACAGCCATGTGGCTCAAGTTTGGAAACTACGATCCCCAATACAGCCCAGAGCTTATCACCAAACTCACAAACGAGGCGTCCAGTATCTACTTCGTCACTCTAGTCGTCATGTACGTTTTCCCCAGTTCACATTTCAAATTTTCAAGACCAAGAAAAAGCTAACATTGGACGATAAGGCAACTTTTCAATCTCCTCGCAACACGTACCCGCCGCCTCAGCATCTTCCAGCAACCCCCAATTTTCAACAAGGCCACTCAGGTAACGCATCTCCATCCTCATGTATTGTCTTCCTTTGTCCACGAAAACTAACACATACACCGCAGAACCTCTCTCTCTTCCCCGCCATGATCTTCGCCATTGCAGTCGCCTTCATCTTCCTGTACATTCCTTCTCTGCAAAACGTCATCAGCACCACCACCGTCCCCGTCGAGCACTGGTTCCTTCCCGCGGCCTTTGGCGCAGGTCTGCTTCTTCTCGACGAAGCGCGAAAGTACTGCGTGCGTAGTTGGCCCAACGGCTTTCTCGCGAAGATTGCCTGGTAAAAATACCAGCGCGAAAGTTTAAGTTTTAGTTTTTTTTTGTTTGCATGCGAAAACCCGCTTGCGAAAACATTGCGTTTTCAGTTAGATATATATACAAATTCAGGCAGTATTGTGTTGTGAAAGGAAAGCTGAATGATGGTTGGGATGGCGATTAATGGATGTGCTGAATATGATACCCCATTGTCTTGTGAAGGAAAGGGAATTGCTGGTAGGGAGTGAGGGAATAGATTTCAAATGATGAATAAACTTTAAAAAAAATTCAAGAAAGACGCAGTTTCGCTGATGGGGATGGTGCAATTGAAACATGATTGAGATTGAGATGAGATTGAAGAAATAGACAAGCAGGCTGAACATGGCAAATTTTGTATGCATGCGAGCGCTGTGCTACGCTGCAGTGTTCTCATTCCAACTGGAGTTCGCTGTGCTACTTCCCTGCTTATCGTACCTGCATCCGTACTTAATCACCCAAGTACCACATACTTCCGGCAGGCCCATGCTATTCCTTACTACACACATTAATAAGCCCCCCTCTCTTGTTGAAGTGACCAAACCCAATACAGCAACCGGAAAACGGGAGTACCGGATAAACCCTGGGAATAAAATACCATCCAGTTTGGGCTAGCTCTACGCAATACCAGGGGAGCGGTAGGAAAGGAGCCAGATACATATACGTACGTTATGCTGCACGCATATCCCGACCAATCACCGAGCCGAGCATATACTGCTAGGCCGTTTGTCGTCGGAATGGTACCACCTCGAGACCACGAGCTAAGTTGCCTAGTTTACAATTCTTACGATCCCAGACCGTTGCAACAACGCCCGTGGGTCGAAGTCCTGCAGCCTACGAGGCAGCGACTCGCGTAGCCAGTGTCTGCCTACAAAGACACCGCTTGCAAACGCAGCGATAGCCACGAGCCGTAGTATCGTCTTCCGCGCGTGCGGATTAATTTCTCGACCCGTCTCCGCGTCTAGATAGACGAAATCGGTTTTTTTCCAGAAGATGCTGCGGAGCCAGAACATGAATTGCCAGTCTGGATACATCACTGTTGCGGGGGGATTATTAGCTCTTCCACGCCTTCTTCTTCTTTTTTTTTGGCGAAACAAGTGGAGTTACGAAGGCGAAATAGTGCTTACTGTTGTTAAGTCCTGTCTTGCGATCAACAGCCCAGTTCACGCATCCAGTTGACCAGACTAGTTTCTTCGCTGCGGCTTGTGTCCAGCGGGAATCTGCGGCTGCGGCTTCGGGTTTGACCTCGACGGTTGCTGGTGTTGCGGCGAAGAAGCTAGGGACTAATGATTGGGATTGGTAGGATGGTAGGGATTTGATGATGGGGTCGAGAAGGCGGAGGATGAAATTGATTTGGCACTCGGTGCTGTAGATGACGCTGAGATGGCCAGTAACGGTATTTGGACCCATCTATTCAAATTCGTAAGGTGTGAAGTCAGTTGTATGTCTCAGATGCGTTTTTGTACATGTGCTTCTCTTACTTACCAGTATGAAGAAATTAGGGAAATTCGGCACGACGGTGCCGAAGTAGGCTTGAGCGACGCCGCGGGAAGTTTTGTCCCACTGTCTCAATTGTCAGTAATCCTGCCCTCCTACTATCTTCCTCAAACTCGGGATTGTTAGTAGTAGAAAAGTCAACTCACCCATTCCCTCAACCCCACACCCCCCCTCCCCAAAATCTCCATCGGCACTAACATCTGTACCGTCTCAAACCCGGTCGCCAACACAATCGCATCCGCACTAATCTCCCTCCCCTGCCTCGTCACAACCCCCTTTTCCGTAATCCTTTCCACAGCATCATCATATACCAATTCGACATTCTCTCGCCACAGCGTCTTCAGGTACTCTGTATCCAGGACTTTTCTCTTACACCCTACTTCGACATTCGGGATGAGTGCGTCCCAGTACTTCGGCGGCGCCACGCTCTTCACGTATGCGGAGTTTTCCTTAGCGAGGGCCTGGCGGATGTGCTGGCCGGAGGCGATGGAGAAACCGCGGTAGTCGAGTTCTAGATCGATGTAGAATTTTAGGCGGTAGAGGCGCATGGCTAGTGGTACATAGCGCATGATGGCCTTAAAGGTGTTTGAGTAGACGGGGTTCTCGCGGGCTGAGAGGAACTGCGCTTGGCGGCTGAATTGCACGAGGTTGCGGAGTGAGTTGGGGGCGGAGGCGAGGATGGGGACGAATTGGGTGGCGGAGCAGCCGTTTCCTTTGGTGGTTTGTTAGTTTCATACTACTTATAGCTTTTGGATTTGTGATGAAGGGGGAAAAATACCAAGAACAACAACGTCCTTCCCACCCCAATCGAACTCATGATCCCACCTCGCAGAATGGAATAAACGTCCTTTGTACGTCTCTGCGCCTGGGATGTCGCATTCCTTGGGTACAGACAGGGCTCCCACACCCGATACGAGGATCTTCGCCCGCCGGATGGTGCGTTGCTTCGTTTTCAAATCCAAAACTTCGACCTCCCAGATCTTTTCATCCTCATTCCACACAGCTTTTTCCACAGTGGATTGGAATCGGATATGCGGAAGGACATCGTACTGCTCTGCGACCCCTCGGAAATACGCCTGGATTTCGCGTTGGTGCGAGTACTTGCGGGTCCAGTCTGGATTCAGTGCGAAACTGTAGGAGTAGAAGTGTGAGGCGACCTAACTTCTTATCAACAACTTCCTTGTTCCCTATTTTCCCTTTCAAAGAAACCCCCCCCCCCACCCTCCCCTATCAGGCTTTTGAAATGGAAAAAGGGCGGAGGTTTATGGGACGAAACTCACATCACACCCACACCCCGGATACGTATTCACATTCCACGTCCCGCCCACATCCCCGCTCTTCTCCACGATTTCAAAGCTGCGCAGATTGTACATGCGGATGAGTTGAACGGCGAGGCCGAGGCCGCTCATTCCCGCGCCTATGATTACAACGTCCGTATCGAGCGCCATCGCTTTTCTACTCCCTTACAATACCAGACAAAGCTGAAAGCGGTCCAAAAGACGGATGGGGAAAAGAAAAGAAATGGAAAAAAAATAAACAAGGTTGGGGATGAGGTATATACGGCTTATGTTCTTGAATGGAGGTTGAATGCTAGATTGAGGTTGTATGACAAGCTATCTATCTCAGTCTATCTATCCATGTATCCCCCTCACTTATCTAAGCTCATCGGTCCCCCGACTCCCAACCAAACTTGCAGGCTTGCACTACCCATCCACGCACGCCATACGTGCAGATGCTACCTAACCGTCTACTCCTCTTCACGGCACTACTTCTGCTCTTAGTCGTCGCGACTCCCATCGTTTTTCGGCAGGTTTGCCGAGTTGTTGCGGAATGAGAACATGTTGTAAGTGGGCCAATTAGGTGTGGCGGGTATGACGAGTTGTGTGGGGACCCCGCTAGTTTAGGTACACGCGTGTAGAGTGGTTCAGTGTGGTTCGGGGTTGTTCGGAGTTGTTTGTTTTGGGTATTCCGGTGGTAGGCGTGGGGGGGGGTTCGGTTTGCGCGCGTGGGGGAAACGGGGGTAGGCTCGTAAAAGGGACTAGGATGGGGAGTGTGAGGGTTGCGTGGGCGGATGGTCGCGGGTGTTGAGGGTTATTTGGTTTGCTTGGAAATTGGGGTTTTGTATATGGATAGTGATTTCATTGAGGATTGTTGTTTTTTGAATCTAGTAATATGACGTCGGTGTAGATGGCCTAAATCTTATGAAGTCCGTCCAATAGATGCCCCGATTTTTTTTGTCATATGTTCGCTCATAGCTCACTTGTATTCGTTTCGTCTTCATTAGGAATTCTACCTGTTCCTGCCATAAACCCCGGTGTAAGTGGCGTATCAGAGAGAAAATCTTCATCGGTATCGAAGTCTGCATACTCGATATCCTGTAGACTTCCTCCTCGCTTCTCCGTCAACGCACTCGCATCAGTGGTATCATTATCTCCTTGCTCAGCTGTTGAAGGCCCAACTGCATGCCGCCGGTTTGGCGACATTTGTCGCAGCGCTGAACGCGTACTGGGTGATGTTCTGCTCGAGGCGGATTTAGAGACTGAATTGGGCTTCTGAGCGTATGGCGTGAGCATGGTGGGAACTTTGAAAGCTGGCCGTGGTTTCAAGCGTTTGGGTGCTGGGATATTCGCTTTCAAAGATGACTCGAAAGACACCTCAGCAGTATCTTCTGTAGTTGAATCTGCCATCGGCGTGGTATCCTCGGGTACAATGAAGGCGGACTTGCGTCGCCGTTGAGTTCTCGGCTCGCGTGCAGTGGTCGCGGCAACGTCCTTGTAGGATCGAGACGCGGAGCGAATAGCTAGTGGTTGTTGGGATGAGACACCAAAATGTGCCAACACGTTCTTGTGGATGGCTCTGCGCTCCTCAAGTTCATCTTCTTGCTCTTTGCAAAAGTCTTCGAGCTCTTGAATTCTAGACTCTAGGTGTGGAATGATTTCTTGGAGCTGCTCAATCTGTTGACGCGACTTTTCGTGATCATGCTCTTCTTGCTGGTAATCCTCCAGAGCGTTCTGAAGTTGGTCTTCGAGAATCTTACACACATGCTCGGCTTTCTGATTGAGTGCCTCGATATCGCTGTTATGCTGAGCTGCTAGATCTTTGATCTTGGCTTCCGACGTCTCTTGGAGCTCTCGTTGCATGCTTTGCAGTGTATCCAAATTTTTCAAGGCCTTCTCCAACTCAGCTTCCTTCTCTTCTAGAAGGCGGTGGTATTCCGATACTCGTGTCTCAAGACGTGCAACGCCGTCGTTCTGGTGAGCAGCGTTTGATCTTTCATGTTGAAGTGTTTCTTCCGTATCCTGACAGCGACGTTGGAGATTTTCATATTCCTTGGCAAGTGTATTGTGGTCCTTCTCCCGTTGAGCTTCGGACTGTCTTAGCTCACTGATAGTGTCGTTCAGCTGCTGTATCTGGAAATCATGGGCGCGGTTATCCTCCTTATATTGAAGAATACTCGACTGAAGTGCGAGTTCCTTTGCGCCAAAACTCTCCTGAGCAGCCTTGAGCGCTTCGTTCGCGTCCGATTTTGACTCTTCGAGGAGTGTCTCTAACTCTCTAGCCCGAGACTGTGCTCGTTCCTTTTCTTGGGTAACGGTGGCATTCTCCTCCCGTAGGCGGCCTTGTTCTTCTCTCAGGTCCTCCAGCTCCTTTTCTAAGCCTTCTAGTTGATCGACAGAGTCTTCGTTTTGTATCCTTAGTGACTCAACTTCATCACTTAAGGAGCGAATTTGCTCCTCAAGTTCGGTTGATTTTTCTTTCTCCCTACGTAGCGGTTCTTCGACCGTATTACAGCGCGTTTCGAGGTCAGTGCAAATCTGTGCTACTGAACGTAAGATGGCGTCTCTCTGATACTTGCCTTGGCTCTGCAGTTCCGAATCAAGGCGTGTACTCCAGTCTTCCAAATGCTGACCAGTATTTTGTGTATTTGCAGCTTGGAAGAGTGATATGGGTGTATTCTTTGGCGTCTCAGAAGCATATGGGCAGGCGCCCGTTACAGGTGCCAGATTCTGTTGTGCTTTCACAAGGGCCATTGTGAGAGTATGAGGTAATTTCGGCTCTCCTGGCTCGGCGGCGAGAACTATGGTGATTAAAGAAGCAAGGGTAGCAGCGATGAGCTGTCGATGAATCGATGCTACATGGGTGCAGACGGCTTGATGATTTGGGTCGAGCCGCACAAGACGCCAGATCTTATCTTGCAAGGTCTTCGACGACAGACCGCGAAGTACGTTGCCTCGTGATGTAGAAAAAGACAGGGTGGCAGTGGTGAGTTCATCTACGAAACTGACAAGATTGGACATGTGCCTAGGGCTTGGTTGTTCAGCACATGCATCTAAGACACCGGAAAATAGTGCTTGGATATCTGGAATATATGCCTGTCTCAATCAGTTGAGTGGTCTACAGTGGTTTCAAATGTGCTTACCGCAAATTTAGGAAGTGATACTGATAGCAGCTCAGAAACGCCGGCTGGCTCTGCTATACAGACAGCATCAAAGACACATGATGCGTACCGCGGCACTATACTTTGGGATGGTTTCTTTGAGCCAGAAAGCTGGCCAAAGAAAGACAGGGCCTCCAACTGAACGGTCGGGCTAGAAGCCGACTCTTCTATCCTCGAACGGCATTTATCAAAAAGCAACGCCCCCTTTTCATGCTTGAGCCAACTATCTCTGATGTTTATGTCGATGCATTGCATGGTTCTAGAGGCAATACGCAAGCCTTCAATTACCTCGTCGTCGTCGTCGACGGAGGCTTTGAGGAGCCACAGGATATTCAAGCACGTCATCTGTATATTCTTGTACAAGTCCTTGGTAGAGCCAAATAGCTTTTGACCGGATGGTGTTACCCATTGCTGCATTAGCGTCTGGGTAGAGACAGGCTCATGACTTGTGTCGGAAGCGTGGGCGGGCCGGACGCCTTCTGGATGCTCGACGATAATGACTATGCCACACAGCCACAACAGTAGCATGGCCGACTCGCCAGATACATTGTTTTGCAAGATGCGGCAAAGCTCGGTATCAAAGCGTCGTCTGGCAGCACTAGGAAGGAGACGATGGAGCTGGGCACATGCCCCATTGAGCATACGATATACCGACTTCAAGGCATCGGAATTGGGGTTCTGTGAAGCCTTTTCAAAGACGTGGAGCAGAAAGCTCTGTGCGGCGGCAGGTAAGGGAATTGCCTCTGGCAAAGGGTATGACAGAAGTAGCACACATAGTTCTCCGAGCTGGGGGTGGGTTAGGGGGAGGGGATGGTGGCAAAGTCTGTACTACTTACGTCGTTGAAGTCTTGCTTGGAGGAAACGGCCCTCTCCAACAGACCGTTTAACAGGCCCGGGTAGCGGATCAATAGTTGGTCACGGAACTCGGGTGCGTGGCCTGCATAGGGGTAGGCAGTCAGCCGATGTGGTAACAAGAGGCGGTCAAAAGCTTACACAGACGATGCAGGACACGCAGCGTGTAAGCCGTCAGCGACAAGGCATCGCGGACGATTTTGGCCAAGGCGGTCAGGGCGCATGGAGAACGGTGATGGATAGAAGCGCGGATGGTGGGTAGGTCGGCACGCACGAGGAGGTGGGACAGAGGCTGTGTGTGAGATGTTGGTCAGACAATCAATCAAGCGTGGTGGTGGAATGTAAAAGCGACGAGTCATGTGGGTGGATGGTGCAATACGGCAATGCTAAGTAATACAGGACTTACAGAGAGCGAGGGAGGATATGGACATTGGATGATCCTCGTCAGTTCCGCATTGAGCTGTGCGCTCAAGTCTGCCGTGGGGGCCCCGTCTGGCATGGTTGGCCTCGGCTTTCAAGGTTGCAACTAATAGTGTAGTGCGTATGTATCAAGGTAGTAGTGGGTTGGTCTGGTTCCCGTGCAAAGTGTGCAGCGCGTCGGATCATCGCCTATACGCGATCTTGTTTGGCGCTCTCGCGTTCCTCCGACAACCGCGCCAGCCAATCTTTGTGCCCTGTAGTTGTATAGGCGTGTGTACACTATACGCATGTGGTATGTAGTGAATGTATGTACAGACATGGGCCGCCAACATTTCCCCGCCTTGCACCGCCGCCTGCACCGCATGCTTGTTTGCTTTTTTGGGCAGTGCCTGGACGCCTGATTGACGTTGCGCGATGCTGTTGCGTCACGGCTGCTCGGATGCGCCATCAACGTCTGTCTGGTCTGGTCTGGTCTGGTCTTGTCTTGTCTTGTCGGAATCCTCCTGGCCATGGCCGGCGAGCAAAGGCCGACTGGAGCGGCTCTTGACGGCGGCGTGGCATGTCGCTGTGGATGCAAACGGCCCCCACTGCTGAGGTAATTGGATGACGGCCATCCAATCCACGCTATCCACGCCCTCTTGCTCGCCATCCAGATCCCCCCCGGGCCTTTGCTTTCCATCCCGACCGTTGCTGCTGCTGCTGCTGAGCCTCATACATGTCATGTCTGTGTATCCATGTGGCGGCCGCCACGCTTCCAGGCACATACATCTCTCCGGCCAGCTGGCCCATAAATCCACGTTATGTTCGTCTGGAATGGAAAAAAACAAAAAATAAACCCGGCCCTGTTCCCATCTGCATCTGCTTGCGACCCTAGCCGGCGCCTCGTCACGCGACCGACGACGCCTTGACTGTCATCCATCATCAGTCGCCACGCTGCATATCCATACAGTAGCATACCACCGCCTCTGTCTGCCGTTGCCGCCCTGGCCTTCCCCGCAATTGCCTCGCCGGCTTCCAAGTGCAAGCCCCCTTGCAGCTGATCACGCTCAACCGGCTTCATTTGCTGCTGCACATCGGTAACCCAGTCAGCCTCCCACGCGCCCCATGCCTCTTCTCCTCCATCAACCACACTATGTGGTCTTGCGGCCTCGCCCGTGCGTTGGCCCATGACGCCCAAGGCCTTGCCCAAAACAATAATGGCGCCGTACGCCTGTACCTTGAATCATCTTCTTTCCGCTTTTGCTCTCCTTGTCCTCTACCCGTGAGCCCCATAAAATGCTTAGTGCTGCCATCCATTCCTCTAGCTCGCAAATCGCGCATGGACCCATAGTCTTCGTCACTGAAGCCTGCCTCGACCTGTAGTCTGGCCAGGTAGATCAACTTCCTCTTTCTTTCTTTCTTTCCTTCTTCTTTTTTTCTTACTTTCACATTTCTCTCTTTGCCTCTCTTTTTTAACCATGTTTTGGCAAGCAGCAGCGCGAGTCAGACACACAGTCTCGCCTTTGCTCAGGCGAGCAGGCACTCGGGCACGAAGCGGAGCCGACCGAACCTTCACATCCCACGCCAACCAACGACCCTTCTGGAACTCTGGGCGAGCTTTGCTCTTCTCTGCCGTCACTGGCACAACCACCTACTTTTACGGCGCCAATGACGAACCCCACCGCATCCAAATGCCATGGCTCAAGTCCACTGGTCCCCAGTACGCAAACAAGCACGAGATGGAAAAGGTGGGTTTATCAGAGACTATATGTTTGCACGTCATCCATGCTCATCAGTCTAGGCCATCACTGAGCTGAGGGAATTGCTGGGAGAGGAAGTAATCAGCACCGACGATGAAGATTTGCACAGACACGGCTACTCGGAATGGTCTTCGATTAACATTGACCAGCTCCCAGTCGCCGTGGCATACCCAAAGTCGACTGAAGAGTGCTCGGCCATTGCCAAAATCTGCTTCAAGTACAGGATACCAATGAGTACGCACACCATGCTTTCTCCAACCTTACCCACTAATACCGCAAAGTTCCCTACTCTGGTGGATCAAGCTTGGAGGCAAATTTCTCGGCTCCCTTTGGAGGCATGAGCATCGACTTTGCCTTTATGGATCGAATCATTGCCTTGCACGAGGACGAGTGAGTCGGCAATGCCTTGCACCTAGAGCGAGGGCACTGCTGACTAAACCTATAGCATGGACGTCGTCGTTCAGCCTTCTGTACCCTGGATGAGTCTCAACGATCAGATAAAAGAGTCTGGTCTCTTTTTCCCTGTTGACCCCGGTCCATCGGTATGCATACACCTGTCACTTGATTGTGCACCACATGGCCACCCAACTTTTATTAACAAACGTGTCAGGCCCGAATTGGAGGCATGGTAGGCACCAGCTGCAGGTAGGTGCGGCTATCTACGCTGCACGGATATTGCAACTAATCATCGCAGCGGAACTAACGCTGTGCGATACGGAACCATGAAGGATTGGGTCATCAACCTGACCGTGGTGCTGGCTGACGGCACCGTCATCAAAACCAGACAGCGGCCCCGGTATGCATATTCCCACGTATTGGCTTCATAGCATCATTAATGGTTTTCTAGAAAATCATCTGCTGGCTACAACTTGACAAACCTCTTCATTGGGTCCGAAGGTACCCTCGGCATCGTCACGGAAGTGACTCTCAAGCTAGCTGTCATACCCCAAGAGACTAGTGTTGCAGTCGTGACCTTTCCTACAATACGCGATGCTGCAGCTGCAGCCTCTAAAGTACTGCGGGCCGGGGTCCCTGTAGCCGCCATGGAGATCATGGATGATGTGCAAATGGGCGTCATCAACAAAGCGGGTGCGACGACAAAAAAATGGAAGGAATTACCGACCATGTTCTTCAAGTAGGTTTCCCCGATAAATTGGATCTTGTGAAGCTAGAACTAACTGCTCCAAACAGGTTCTCGGGAACAAAGGCAGGGGTATGTTCAGCCCTACAGCCGCGCATTTACCCAGAACGTAACTGACTGCATACTAGGTACAGGAAAATATCGAGCTTGTAAAGGCTATCGCAAAAGCCAATAAGAGCGGTGATTTCGAATTTGCCACGGATGCCGAGGAGCAGAAAACCCTTTGGTCGGCTCGCAAAGAGTCACTTTGGAGCATGATGGCGCTCCGTCGCGAAGGCGATGAGGTTTGGTCAACAGATGTCGCGGTCCCCATTTCCCGGCTCCCTGACATTATAGGTACGACCCTGCAATAGCACTTTCGCTCAAACTTCTTCTTAATTTCCTGTCTAACCCTAATACTACTACAGAAATCTCCAAGAAAGAAATGGACGACCTTGGCCTTTTTGCGAGTATCCTTGGTCACATTGGAGATGGAAACTTTCACGAAAGCATCATGTACAACAGCAAAGACCCCAAAGAGCGAGCTGCCGTTGAAAAGTGTGTTCATGACATGGTCGACCGGGCGCTCGAGATGGAAGGTACCTGCACCGGCGAGCATGGTATCGGACTCGGAAAAAAGGCATCGTTGCAGAAAGAACTTGGTGTTGATACCATCAACGTAATGAGATGTATCAAGGGTGCATTAGACCCTTACTGGCTCATGAACCCAGGAAAAATCATGGACGCTCAGGCATAGCTAATGCCGCCACTTGGCTTCTTTTTCTTTTTCGTTCAAAAGCTGATATTATGCATTGGGAGGGTTGTCTGACCATCTGCACTGCATCTGCTGGGAGGGAATGCATAGATCTCGTCGATTGATCTTCTTTAGAAAATGTTTTTAGTAATGAAAAGTTTACGTTCTACAGATTTGATGAAAAGTGACCTAAATTGCCATAGCTGACAAGGCGAGCGTGGGACCTCCGCGATCGGTGGTCGCGTTTTCCACCCCACCCCCGCGCGTCATAACTTCCCGACTTGAACTTTGGGAACTCGATTGACTCAATCTCATAATTCCACATTCTCTTTTGCCATAACCATGGACGCTGAACATTTTACGTCTCCCAAGAAGGAATTTCCCAAGAAGAAGTGCGGTAAGCATTTGCCACCCGACGAAAACGATTGACTGACTGACTCAATCGCAGGCGTGCTCGGCGCAACTGGCTCTGTCGGCCAACGCTTCATCCTTCTCCTCGCACTCCACCCACATCTCGAGCTACATGCTGTTGGAGCCTCGGAGCGATCTGCTGGCAAGAAGTACAAAGATGCCGTCAAGTGGAAGCAAGCGCTGCCGTATTCGGAGCGCATTGGAGAATTGGTAGTGAAGAAATGCGTACCCGAAGAGTTCAAGGACTGCGACCTAGTCTTCTCTGGACTCGACAGCGATGTTGCGGGAGATGTTGGTAGGTGCGCCGCTTCAAATACCTTGCGCTGGAGCTGAACCTTCATATAGAGATGGCCTTCCTCAAGGCTGAACTTGCCGTTTTCTCAAACGCAAAGAACTACCGCCGCGATCCTCTCGTCCCACTCGTCGTCCCCACCGTAAACCTTCCACATCTCGACGTGATCAAGCACCAGAGGCAGCATCACAAGCTAGAAAAGGGTTTTTTGGTGTGCAACTCAAACTGCGCTGTCATTGGAATAGTGATTCCTTTTGCGGCGTTGCAAGATAAATTTGGCCCCATTAACCAAGTGTCAGTCGTTACAATGCAGGCAGTCTCAGGCGCTGGCTACCCCGGCGTCAGTAGCATGGACATCATTGATAACGTCGTACCCTTTATTTCGGGTGAAGAAGACAAGCTCGAGACTGAGGCCTCCAAAATCCTTGGAAGCGTCAACGAGGGTGTCACTGGTTTCGTGGACCAGCCTATGAAGATCTCCGCCGCATGCAATCGTGTTCCAGTCCTGGATGGACACACTGCATGCGTATCACTACGCTTCGAGCGTCGCCCACCACCCAGCGCAGAAGAGGTCAAGCAGGCAATGCGCGACTATGTCTCGGACGCGCAAAAGCTAGGCTGCCCCTCTGCGCCTAAGAAGGCAATTGCAGTCATGGACGAGCCTGATAGGCCGCAGCCAAGATTAGATAGGGAGACTGACAGAGGATACACTGTCAGTGTAGGCAGAATACGCGAGGATGAGTCTGGTATTTTCGATATCAAGTTTGTTGCACTAAGTCACAACAGTAAGTTGGAAACTATGATCAAGACATAAAAACGGTGCTAACTATTCGCAGCGGTTATCGGGGCGGCAGGTTCTTCCATCCTTAATGCCGAGGCCGCGGTGCTGAAGGGATACGCGTAAAATGCGACACTGAAGAAAAAATGTGGATAGCATTGAATTTGAATAAAAAATTCAGAGCCAAAATTCACCAGACTTGAATACACTGGCGTGTTGTGACGGACTGATCAGTGATGTCTAGACAATGGCTGTGCAGACCTGAACGTGAGATTGAAGGAAGCAAAACACTTCCATACGGCTCAATCTCAGTCACTGCATTTTGCAACTTCAATATACCTCACTGGACATGCCAATTATCTATTTGCGAGGATGATCCACACCGAGGCGCTAGTCTTGGCGGCGACGCTAGTGCTCGGTTAGCACACGGCGCTAGTGTGGGAATTTGATCAAATCTTCCCACCCCGATTTCGTACTCTGACAGGACTTCCGACAACCTCGACGACTAACCTCACACAACAGTCAAAATGGCGCGTGGACCCGTTAAGCACCAGAAGCGCCTCAGCGCGCCCTCGCACTGGCTCTTGGACAAGCTGTCCGGTACGCTCGATTCCTGCACGCCTGCAACCGGCAGTGTAAAGCAACATGGCGAGCATCAAGTTGACAATTCTCAGGTGCCTACGCCCCCAAGGCCTCGCCCGGTCCTCACAAGCTCCGCGACTCCCTCCCCCTCGTCATCTTCCTCCGCAACCGTCTCAAGTATGCGCTCAACGCCCGCGAGGTCAACGCCATTCTCATGCAGCGTCTGGTCAAGGTCGACGGCAAGGTCCGCACTGACAGCACCTTCCCCACTGGATTGATGGACGTCATCTCCATTGAGAAGACTGGCGAGAACTTCCGCCTGATCTACGACACCAAGGGCCGCTTCACCGTCCACAGGATAACAGACGAGGAGGCACAATACAAGCTCGGCAAGGTCAAGCGTGTTCAGCTTGGCAAGGGCGGAATTCCCTACTTGGTTACGCACGATGCGCGAACGTAAGTTCTCGCTCTATCAGCCGTTGGACCACAGTTTGGGCTAGGTGACTGAAGGGAAACCTCTTTCACCAGGCATACGACCAGGGTCTGGCTATGTCCGAATTGCTGCTAAACATATATGTGTAGGATCCGTTACCCCGACCCCGCCATCAAGGTCAACGACACCGTCAAGGTCGACCTCTCCACTGGCAAGATCTCCGACTTCATTAAGTTCGACACTGGCGTCATCGTCATGGTCACTGGTGGTCGTAACATGGGCCGTGTTGGTGTCATCACCCACCGTGAGCGCCACGACGGAGGCTTCAACATTGTCCACCTCAAGGACGCTGTTGACAACGAGTTCACCACTCGTGAGTCCAACGTCATGTAAGTTTTTTTTTGGTGAAGTTGGGGGATTAAAATGCTAACAAGCGTGCAGTATCATTGGAAAGGAGAAGCCATGGATCTCTCTGCCCAAGGGTAAGGGTGTCAAGCTCTCGATCGCTGAGGAGCGTGATCGCCGCCGTGCGTACGCCCTCGCTGGTCACTAAATGTGACACGGGCGGGTGTTTAGTAGTAGGTTAGCGTATGAAGTACCCATGAATTCATGAGCATTGGTGCAGGACTCGGAAACTCGAAAAAACCAGGCGTTCGTGACCCCTTGTGGGGAGGTTGACGCGGATCTTGCGGATCTGCTTATCATAGGAATACCATGAGTGAGGCCGAGAATCAAACAAAATAAACAGTTGAGGAGCCTTGGGGCTCAAACATTGAGCATGAAATGTGAGCAGAGCATTGTGATTGTGAGACAGTGTCGTGTGCGAAGTGTGGTTTTGGAGGGGTGCAAAAGCAAAGAAGGCATTGCGGCAGGTGAAGCCAATGGGACGCGGAACCAAGAGAAGAGTTGGTGGCGCCGAAAAGATGATATTTCGGGGGCCTTGTACCGTCAAGACTAGACTGGGGTGCATGGGGGTATGAGATAAGGGGAGGACGGGGCTGTGTTTGCGCGCTCTTTGGCGGAAGGGCCCATTGGCATGAACAGGAAGCGCGCGTAGAGAGAGCGTGTCGGAAGCAGACGAGACACGACAGAAGAGGGATTGAGGCCCAGCTGCTCTGCCTCAGGACTAGGCTATGGAGGCTCTGCGCGTTTCAGCAGAACCCAGTGTTTGAAGCGCCGGGCGTGCCTGGACGATCAGTCTGGGGAGGGCCGTGCAGGTTAGACGAGATGAGACGATGGACTTGTCGGGGAAATGGCAAATGGCATGGCAGCACGGGCGCGCATGCTGGTGAATATTGCGCCGAACAACAGGCACTATCAACAGGGAAGCACACTGGTTGGCGCTGTGAGACGGAGAGGAGATCCAGGGGGGTTTAACGCGCACACAACATGATTACTACGGCGAGGCTGTTCGTGTTCATCTCATCTCATCTCATCGGATCGGGGTCAAGTTGCCAATGCTTTTCCTGTTCCTGGTTCCTGTGCCTGGTTCCTGTTCACCGTTCGCTCTCAACCATCAGCACGTCACGATCGAGTCCACAGCGGTGGTTTGACGGCTGGATAGCGTCCCGCACTCCAAGCAGCCGCAAGCAGGTTTATCGGTGACTAGCGGCCAAAAAGCCCCCAACGTTCGCATCCATCTCTGGTGCCGTTTGCGCTATTGGCTGCCCTCCCGCTTGTACCGTTGCAGCTTACAGCTTGTTCTTTTGGCCCTCCAGCCTCCCGCCCACTATCCTCCACCTCGTGTCCACGCCAACACGCCCACGCCCACGCTTCCCCGCAACCGAAACAGCCAGCGACCGTCAATCTTCCGCCGGCTGTCTGTGTCAATTGCGTCGCTGTCCTGCATCGTGCCATTCCCGGGTCGAGGCATCAATGACACTGCAGGCATCCCCCGTGCATCCTCACTCGTCACTCGTTTCACCTCGGACACAGCCGCGCTGAGGCTCGCTTTCTACTGCCCTCTCCAACAACGACGTCTGCGCATTTACTATAGTCGCGCAGACACGCCCCTCCGAGACCCCCCCAAACCTATATCGCCGAGTCTCCAAAGCCGGTCGCTGGCGGACCGGATTCCCACTGCGGTAGTACTTGACGCTGCCCTTTGTCGCCATCATGTTGCGTCCGGCCACCCCTTTATCCATTCTATTCTTCGTCGCATTCGTGCTGTTGCTGCTCTCCACCCTCTCGACGCCCCTCATCAAGAGCATCCCGCTCGCTACCTACCGTGGTGTTCATTTTGGCGTCTTGGGCTACTGCGAAAATGGCGATTCAGGCTGTAAAGGACCCATGATCGGGTACAACACCGGTATGTGCTGCTACACTACAAGCGCACGCGTGCAACATGAACTAACTGCTCGAATACAGAGAAACTGTTTGCAGGTGAACGGACCTCTGACTTTTCGCTACCCTCTGCACAGCGACACGCCCTATCCTCAATCCTCATTGTCCACCCCGTCGCGGCTCTCATGACACTCATTTGCTTCGCCCTCTCAGTAGCCGCCCACTTCCATTCGCCTGCTCACTCGCCGCGCTACCTTCTTGCCCTGCTTATATTCACCTTCCCAACCCTACTCGTCACACTGCTCGCGTTTCTCGTCGACATTTTGTTGTTCGTTCCCCACGTGGGTTGGGGAGGATGGATTGTACTAGGTGCTACCGTTATCATTGTCGCAAGCGGAATTGTAACATGTGCCATGAGACGTACGCTAGTCAGCCGCAAGGCGAGGAAGCGCCGCATTGCCGAAAACGACGAGATGAACGGCAACACCTATTATGCGAATCGCGCAAACGCGACAGTGACCACTGAATATCCAAAGGCTGAATCTCCGCCCCCTCTTGACAACGACACAATGTCGTCGGCCCTCAAAACAAACGGCAGCACCGCCTATTTTGATTCTTCAAAAGTGTCTCCCACGGACGATATGGTGCCTTTGAACCAACGCAACCCTTCGCTCAAGACTGTCAGCAGTGCTGGTGGTAATGGCCCAGACACAATGGGCTCGCCGCCTGGTGGCCCTATCGGTCGCCGACAGCCAGTGGACCAATACGGTAACCCTCTCCCGCCTATGCCCAATGATGGTTTTGCTATGATGAACGGAGCCCCACGCGGCAGGGGGGGTCCATACAGAGGAAGAGGAGGACCGCCACGTGGTGGACAGTTTGGAGGCCCAAGAGGAGGAGGTTATGGTCCAAGAGGCGGATATGGCCCAAGAGGAGGAGCTATGCGAGGACCACCTCCGCCAGGCTGGAATGGCAATGGACGTGGTGGACGACCTCCAAATGGCCCTCCAATGGCTCGTGGTGCTCCTCCTCCAGGATACAACAACGATAACTTTTACAGCCAAGGACCGCCACCTCGCGAGCCATCGCCGTATGGCCGAGGCCCACCACCTGGACCAATGCCGCAAATGCCCATTGGTCAAGCTATCGAAATGGATAACCGCACAGGCACACCTGCTAACAATTATGGACTGAGAGAGAGCGACGGTGATGTTGCAGGTATGCTTGCTCTTCAACAGGGTGGCCCCTTCCCAGCTGGTGCACCCCAGCGACGTTCTCCCGAAATTATGAGCCCGACCAGCGAATACTCGACATCGTAAGTGCTTTTTACCACGTGTTTTGTGATTGTTTTCCTAACATCAAATAGTGATGCGCAACCACGACAACCACCCCCGCAACAGCAGCAGCAGCAGCAGTTTGTCCCAGCTCGGGCTGGATGGAACCAACAAAAAGTGCCCTCTGATCAAACGCTCAGCACCATGAACAACAGCAACAGCAGCCGTGGACTCTCTCCGATCCAGGACTCGCCTATCATGGCGAATGCCCAACTTGCCCCAGTCGATTCAGTCACCAGACCAGAGCGTAGTTCTGACTATTATGAAGACGTTGACCCCAGATTCGCAGAACCTGTGCAGCAACAGGCGCCTCCACCATTGCCAACGTCACTGATGCCAGGCAAATTCGCGCCGCCTAACCCCAACTTTCTTTCCACAAACAACCTGAGTGACCCCAACCTCCCTCGCACCAGCTCTTACGACGACTTGCCAGATGGTTCACGTTCTCCTGCGGCCAGCGAAGCATCGCACTTTACTTCTGTCTCCCAACGCCCGATCAATCCCAACTGGCGGCCAGAGATGGGCGCCGCGGCAGGTCAGTTTGGCCCATTTCCTGGTCCCCGAAGGCCTATGCGACAGGGAGATGTCATTCTGGAAGCCAATGCAGACAACCCAGACTTTATGATCCCAGGTGCTACACGAGGACGCGGTCGGGGCCGAGGCGGCGGCGGCAGAGGAAGAGGCGGTCCTATGCCACCTGCCATGCTTGGACCAGGACCAGGCATGTCGAATCAATCCAGATATCCCGGTGGCAACGCCATGTAGGGATGGCACCTCTCCTTCTGAATGCGCTGGTAGAGCAGTCCTTTCTCCATTTCTCTTTGGTGTACAAAATCCCATTGCATGTCATCCATCCTCTTTTAACGAACACACGGGGGGCCTGTTCATTTTCTCCTTCTGGCCCCCAGCAATTAGATAATTTCTAGTGCAACCTCATCGGGCTGCCGCTGTCGCTAACCCTCTTCTTTGGACCTCTGCCAAAACTCAGCTGGACTGGAGATTGAAGGGAAAAAGATGTCGCTGGCGGTGGCTCGAATCTCTTGAAATGTCGTCATGGTAGTCGATACCCTTTCATTTTTTTTCTTTCTTTCTTCCTTCTTTCTTCTCTTCTTCTTTACGAACACATATGCATCCGCATACATCTGGGTCGCTCCTTTTTTTTCTTTTCTTCAATTCTTTTGGTTTGGAAAGCGTTAGAATCACAGGTTGGATCGTTCTTGGTGAATTGTGGAACTGATTAAGCTGAGCAAAGGAAACAAATCACTTTTTTTTCTTGTTGCTGATGCGGCTGGGCTTTCGAATATTTTTGTCACAGTTTGGGCAAAGTGGGAGGGGGATGGAAGGAGAGAGAGGCTTTGCAAATGTATATAGCTTCTGATCTGTCCTTCCTTTTTTCCTTTTTTGTTCCTCATTGATTGGTGTGTAGTCAACAAGGTGTTCTTTTCCATTGTGCGGATTAAGCATAGGATGTTGGGAAATGAGGGCGGAGAAATAAGTAACATCAATGCACAAAAAACATATGTGAAAGTAAAAAAAAGTTCGAGACTGTTCTAGCTAAGCGGGTATTGGTTGTCGTCGCGCAGATGCACGTGGATTGGAGCGGTGAAGAACGAAAGACGTTGCAAACTGTATTTTTCATGTGTTGGTGTGTCGAGCATGTGCGCGTGGCATAGTCATGTGATGAATTTGTTGGAGGTTGTTTTGTTGTGCCACATGGACAATGTCAGCTCAGCACAGATACACCAACACACGCCAATACACCAAGCTCAACGACAAGCCCATGAGGAGATATCAACAAGACGCCTCGAAGTTGAACACCCCTCCCCCCTCCCCCCTTCCTCCAACACCCCAACCCCCATATTTTCTTCCGCGGGAGTTCCAGATAACAAGCATCCGACAGTTCCATGGAGGTGCACATCAATAATATGTCACACGGGCGCACTCAGAGTTTTCCGTCGGATGTCCGCCAAGCTCGGGATGCATCGCATGCATCACGAACCACAGACTCGTACACAAAACGGTGGAGAGGGGGCATTTGCATGCTGCACAATACGGACATAATTCCACCGAAGCCACATGTTCGACGTTTTTTTGCCTCCCCATCTCCAGATGTTCAGACGGTGTCTTGCTGAGCTTGGCATTACTCAATCGCGTGCGTTTGTGGATGATGTACCCGTCCCCCCCAGATTCTTTTACCCCAGAAAATCAGTCAAATCATACTTGCGGCATGCTGGCGGCATCCACACGCCCATCCGTGGCTCTTTGCGGGGTAAACTTCCGTAATTCTTCATTATTGTTTATACATGGACGCAGATCGGTTCGGGTGAAGCCGCATAACAAGGGGGCTGGCCTGGCCCTCGTCACGGTGACGGACAGTATTAAGGTTGGCCGGCACACTTTTCGAAAAGGTCTGAGGGAGTAGCACTGCACTTCATCGGTGACAAAGGGAAGAAAAGATTTCATCCCCGAACACACGTGCAGGACTGGCCAGCCAAAAGCAGGTTGCTGGCAGAGCCGCCTCGTTTGGAGAGATGACGACGCTTTCTGAGTAGTGGTGGTTCCTTATCGCTGCTCTTGATAACGGATTCATCTCCAAAGATAACTATACCGACACAACACGCACCTCACTGCTGTACACACTGATATTTCCGCATTAGTCTGGCCCACAGACTTGGAGTTGCGGTCCGACATCGTCATGAGGCATGCGGGCAGACGTGGCTTTATCTTGGAACAAGGCTATCGTGAAGCAACAAGTGGAGCGAGTATGCCTAGCCCTAATCCACAACCAGTCATGCCATCCACTCGTTCCGTCCCACCTCGAGATGGCTGTGGGGTAGCCTCTCCATCTTCCTATCGTTGGCGCCTCATCTTGCCCCATGATGCTTTTGTCGCAAAGTCGTCCGTCGCTGGCTTGTAGGCGAGGATAGCGGCAGAGGATGCGCACCGGCAGTACATTTCGTGTCCAACTTTTCCGCCCACCGGGCGTCCTCCCATAGAGGGGTTTGTACAGCAAAGAAAACTGTCGTGGCGGATAGGCCTGGCCAATAAGGCTCCCGCCGATGCAGAATGCACAGTAAGAGCCGAATTTCGGAATCTAGGCTTACACGCCCTGCATCAACCACACCAGCGCGACATTTTTATCAGCAGCTATCTTAGCCGGCCCTAGTCGAGTGATAGGCAGAAGAACGACCGGGTGTGTCATGGCCCCGTCACGCGCATTAGAAGTCTGTGGCCGTCCCCCAACCCATGGATCCGCATTTTAAGTCCTATCTCCTTCGCACCGGATATCTCACCCCATTGTCGTTTGACTTTCCCAGACCTCTCCCCTTTACTACGTCAATCTAAACCTGCAACATGCCCGCTTTTGCTCAAGACAAGGTATTGGCGAGAGATCTAAAGGCGAAGAAGACAAAGTCTAGGAATGGATGTGGCCGCTGCAAGCTCAAGAGGGTAAAGTCTCACCGCCTCCCATCATCAATATTCATCCCTTGTTCGGAACACGTGCTAACAAAAAGCATAGCTCAAATGCGACGAGACTGCTCCTGGCTGTCTGCAATGCAAGAAGAGGAACGTGCCCTGCCCTGGATACGAGAAGACTTTGAAATGGTCGACAAAGTACGAGGTCTTTACGCCTCCTAGCCACTCGAGGGCGGCGCCTCCCAAATCGAGCCCTACCTCCAACCTCAGTTCCACAACTCACCCTGCCGCCAAGTCGACGCTCCCTCAGAATGTCGCCAGTGGCATCGAGGCCTTGGCTGCAGTGCTCCCTGTAAGCAAGAACAAGATGACAACTACGACCACCCCACAACAAGCCCCCACAATACAAACGTCATCTGCAATTCCGTCTCCACCTAGCTTTGAGGAGCCTGCATCAAACCAAGAGTCCTCTACCGAGGATGGCGACTCTCCTCGAGAGTACGAGCCCTTTCCAATCGAGGATGTCATGTTGGATGGCTTTGTTGATGCCATCCATCTTCCTCACGAAGAGTTCAGCTTTGATCCTTTTGAGAACATAGACTTTGATTCTGGCTCGCTAGACGACATTACTTTTGGCGTACACGACTCACCATCACAGAAACTAGATGTCATCCCGTCTTCGTCTATGCCTTTGTCGGACCGCGACGCAAACCGAGAGTCTAGCCCTAGACTCTCACGTTCACTGCTCCTTGATTTGTACCGTCTTCCAAGTCCTTCTCCCAGCCCGACATCGTCTGACGATGTCGAGTCTCTTCTCGTCCAACACTACTTCAAGGACGTCTGTGCTATATTTTCTTCTTTCGACTCTCCTCTAAATCCTTTCCGAACTACCATTGGCCGCATCTATAAGGACTCTCCATCCATCAACTACGCAATCCAATCCATGGCAGCGGCGCATTTGGCTAACACTTTTCCCAACATGGCAGCAACAGGAGTTGAACTCCAGCGCAAGGCACGCGAGGCACTAGAGGCTGAGCTTCCCCTTGCTCAGAGTGGCCAGACTAGTGCTACCAAGACATTCTTGAGTATCATGCTGCTTGGTCTTACTACCTCTTGGCACGACAGCAGCGCTCTTGGACTCGAGTACCTTTCCACTGCCAGGGATCTCATTCTACCCAAGCTCTTTAGCCGATCACGTGGTGCAGAGGTGGAGCGAGAGGCACAGTTCTTTGAGGAGTCTTTGATTCACTGGGAGATGCTCATGGGCTTTGTGACAGAGGATGCCATGAGCTTTTCCCCCAAGTCAGGACTCCGACCCAGCGTCACCTCGAGGAAGAATGCTCCAGTTGCACGAGGCCCCAACGGCAAGGTTGTCCCACACCCCTGGACAGGCATCGCGCCCATGATTCACTTTTTGTTTGCAGAGGTCGGCCGCCTGGTCCGCAAGGAACGCTCAATGGACCGTGAATCTTCCATGGATCTTCGCCGACGACAAGAGAACCTGCAAAACGCTGCCTCGCTGGAAGAGGATCTCCTTGCTGTCGACTGCCCATCTGTTGATGAAGTGATTGACTATGGCGACGAACGTACCCCCAAGGAACACTTTGTCACCATTGCTGAAGCCTACCGTCTCGCTGGTCTGCTAGAGATTTACCGCGTTTTCCCGTCTATCCTGCGCAAGCGTCTCGGGTCTGACAAGCTCAAAGGCACTGAGGCTGTCGACTTTCAGTTCCCCACACCGCGCTTTGAGACTCCGTTTGAGGACACTGACATGAAGCTGTGGCTCAACTCGCTTGCCATGCACATTATCAGATCTCTAGAGTCGATACCTTCTTCATCTGGAACCTTTTGCATTCAGCCGCTGATCCTTGTTGTTGCTGCATCTGAGCTTCGATTTGTCTCGTCAGTCGACTTCTTCGATGTCCATGCCAACGATACTGAAATTGTCTCTGCACGAGAGTTTGTCATTCGGCGTCTGCAAGAATTTGCGTTGAGGCTACCTAACAAGCCCCTTCGCATGATGATTCAGCTTCTCAAGGAGACGTGGCGTCAGTGTGATGAAGGTCGCGATGCCTTTTGGATCGACGTCATGAATGAGAAGGGTTATCACACCATCATGTGATGCGTTCATGGTTATCAGCTATCTTCTTCTTTTCTGGACTTGCCAGCCCTTGCCAAAATCTTTACTTCATCAGCACTCGGTTCATTGTACGACACATTTTACAACACGGCTTAGCGTTTATCCGGATCCGGCGTTAACATCACCGACGGCGCTCGACAGTCTGCTCCTACTTTAGATCTCCTACACGCCACCTGTCCTTCCTACGAAAGATCTATCTGATCTCCTACCTCTCACGACAACAATTTGCGATACGAAAGTACTTCTTCTTAATGTACGGCTTCCACCTATACCCCCTTATCGGTTCAACATCCCGGTGATGTGAAGACTTCAAATGTGGCCGCCCACTGCTCCAACAACAAAAGCCATATCTTCTCTACGACTTCCTTTACGATACCCCCCACAAACCCTCCAACACGCCCCGCGCGACCAAACAAGACCACTTGCGACATTAGAAACCAAATCCCCCAAGACCGAAAAACTTTGCCTACTGCGAAAATAAATACCTAATGCTGGCGAAAGCTCCCAATCCCAACCCTCCAATCCCATACCAGGACCATTGCGCCTACCTATCCCCTAAGAAAAACCAAAGAGAAAGCGACAATCTTCCAAGCATCGACCATCACTATCCGATCGCGACAAACCATTTATCCAAAAAAGTATAACTCCCTCTTTTACCTGCCTTAACCCACCCCCCCTCCTTTTTAACCCCTAGCTTTTTTCCTCTCTCTTCCTACTCTTCCCATTTGCGCGACTGCGAATATGCAGAGCCTCCCACTGCGAAAGAAATGACCTACTACTAGGAAAAACACCCCCCCTTTTGTAGGACCCCACCCCTTCTGGACCTACTACCAAAGTATTACCACAGCGCCAACACCCATACCTACCTGGACAACTTTCTTCTTTTGCACATCCCAAATGGCCTAGTCTTGACATTTCCAGAACTTTCAGAACTTTCCAAGCGCGCCAACTAGACCCGTTCCGCCCCCAACTCCGCCTCCAGCCGGGTGTGTCTAAGAGAGAGAGAGACCCACACACAAAATGGAGATATAAAGGAGAAAAAAAGGAAATGCCCAAAGCGACTGTGCCGCTACGCGACAATTTTCTTTTTATATACACATATACTGGTCTTTCCCACCGTTCTGGATGACCCCCCCTTTTCCATCGCGTTACCTGGATGCGTGTTTTTCTTTTTCTTTTTTTTTCTGAGCTCTGAAGTTTGATATGTATTTTCCGACAGATGGGATGGACGTGGGTTGAGAGAGAGAGAGAGGTTTCGAGAAGACTTTGGCGCCTTATGGACATGGGCTAAGTTGGGGGATTTTGTTATATTTTTCCCCCCGTCTGTCTGATTCACTCTACTTTTGTTTCCCTTGCATCGCTTTCTTTGCGAAAAGGATTGTGGAGAGAGAGAGAGGGTGTTGCAAGGTAAGCTAAGGTAAAGCCTAAAAGGTGAGTTTGGTAAGTATATCATACTTTGTGCTTCCTCTCCCCCTCCCCCTCCTTTTTTTTCTGCTTTCAAGATATAGAGCGCTTTTTTGGTTTAAACTTTTAGGCTCGTTTTGTACGATATGGCGGAATAGACGGTTATACGATGGGGAGAGTTTATGTGTAGATAGTCTTTGTGAGGGGGGGGGGGGGGGGGGCGCGTTGCTATTTCTTTTCTTCGATTACCCCCCCCCCCCTACCACCTTTTTTTTTCTTTCCTTCACCAACGACTTTTCCTGCTTTGAGGGGGAGAAAGCGAAAATAGGTATATTACTCTCACGAGAAAAATGTTCTATCTCTATACTCTTTTTTTGGAGCACTGCGGGTGTAGGTAAGTAACGCAGTACAACAACAACAACAACAATAGCACCACACGTATCTAATTAAAACACTGATTCATCACCATCTCCCACTGACGCACACACGCACAAAGTCATAAATGGGTCATTACTTCATTACTATATATCCAAAAAAACATGTCGCCCAATCATGGTGTTTTTTTTTAATGTGTATAACACACACACACACGATGCGCAAAAAAATATATCAAAAGATACAAAACAAATCGTCCCATTTACAAAACGGGTCGATTGATCTCATCATCACTATCATCGTCATACGCAATGAACTCTCTCCGTCCACTCTTGCCTTGGGCGACAAAATATCTGGGTGCTTCGTAGTAAGCTCGGAGTTTCTTTTCGGCACCGGGGCTCGACATTGCGTCTAGCGAGTTGTCGTAAGGGGTTGGTGGGATGGCTAGGAGGCGTTTTTCTGCGCCGGCGAGGCGAAGAGAGTGGGATGGTGTGGGTGGTGGTGAGATACTGAATTTTTTTGTTAGAAAGATTGTTTGTTTGGAATTTGGAGGAGGAGGAGGGAACCGTACAGGTTTTTAAGCATGTGCAGGCCTTCTGCGATGCAGGCGACAATGGAGAGGACGACGATGAGTTGGAGGATGAGGAGGGTTAAGGGGGAGGATTGGATGTCGCGGAGTGGCATGGCGGATTCGGGCGAGGATTCATCTTGGTAGCAGACTATTTTAAATTCATTCGCGCCTGTGGAGGGGGCGTCGGAGGAGGTTGCGCTCAAGAGGACTGAAGTTGGAATGGGATTTTGGGCGACGGAATCATCGATGGAGCGCGTGGGGGCGCGTTGGAGGTACAAGGCGTAGAGGTCAGGGTTGGTGTGTTGGAATTGCGAGAGTTGCGAGGCGAGGGTGTTGCAGATTGTGCTGCTGGCCAAGGGATATGGGGAAGGTGAGGCGGAGTCGTCTTCTGAGGGGGAGGCGGGGGCCCAGTGTGCGGCTGAGGGTGAGTCGATGGCGTATGGTGAGGTTGTTGTTGAGGTTGATGATGATGGGGTGTTTGGCACGATTTTACATTGGCAGTGAGTTTTTGTTGGGAGGGCAAGAGTGGTTGTTGTTTGCGCTGAGAAGAGGAGGAGGGTTGTGAGGAGGGTGTTGGAGAGCATGATGGCGGTTGTGGTGAATTCCAACTAGTAGGGAAGTAGGAAGGAGCAGTCCAGGCAGGCGTAGATGTTTGTTTCACCAAGGCGCAGATGTTTGGTTTACTGGGCGCAAGTGTTAGTTACATATGGACGGAGAAATTAAAAAAAAATCAGCTAGTTAAACGTCGAGACATACGCTGTGCACTTGTACGATAACGCATACGCGAGTGCGACGCGCTGGCAGGCCTAGACTGAGGGGAGTCGCAGCGGATCTAGACGGAAGCCCCACCTGCACGAGGATCCCTCAGATAAGGCTGGATATACGCAGCTACAAGAGATGGTCCAAAAGGAAAAGGACGTAGCGGGCTTGGCAAGTGAAATTGCCAACGGGCGTATAAGCACCTAGTCGTATGCGGGGAAGATGAGATGAGATGAGATGAGATGAATAGGGTAAATGGTAGGTTAGTGTGATGAAGAAGGCGAAGAGAGAGAGAGAGAAAGAGAGAGCAAGACTGAGAGACATGCGACAGGTGGGCCAGTCAGCCAGGGATATATGGAATTGGTGCCTTTCTCTCTTATTCTCCACATGTCACTCCCTCTCACCCCATAGCGCCATGGGATGGCGGAGTGGAATGGCGTGCCAGCCGCGTTGTGTATCAGCTACGCCCACACCACAAGACGATGCCGTTTCGAGAGGCAGGCAGTCAGCGCCAGACCATCGGAGCCACCGACCAGCCGGGCTAGGTCTCGTGTGGGATGCTTGGTGCGGTTTTTTATGACAAGGCCTGCAGTGCATGTCCCCAACGCCCATCTCAGTAATCTCAGCCGGCCGGGCCTCACAGTCGCCAGTCTGAAATCGTCCAGGCCCGGCTGCCGACTGGCGACTGGCCACCACCACCACTGCGCTAGGCTGTACGCAGCCCCCGCACGTTACTACTGTACCTCGCACGCCATGCCAACTTTGTCAGCTCTCCATCTCTCTCCCTCTCTCCTCCACCTCCTATCATCTCGCTCGTCCTTCCTCGTCGGCCTCAATAGAGTTCTCCACGCCTGTGTGCGGATAGGCGGCGGGCCCCTCCGTCTCGATATGGCACCGCGTTCCAGGGGGATTTTCTCGCTTCCCTCCACGGACGGCGAAACGTTTCTCGCCCACACAGACACGCAGGCGATACCCTTTTCCGACCTAGCACACGCCTGTGATTGCTTTTCTGCCTTTGGCAAACCATCTTCGCCCTTCCTTCATCACCCACAGGCTAGACCGGGTGCGCCCACGACGCAGGTCTGGCCCGTGCTCGCCGTATACAGACTTAGCCCACCGCTTCAGCCAGGCCTATTAATACTTTGCTCGCCCACACGTGCTGTGCTACTCAGACGCTCTGGACCTTCGTGGCGCCCTTCTAGCTCTACCTACAATTCTACACAAGAAAGACAACCCGCCACCTGCCCTTTTTGCGCATGTCACCAGAAAAATTATAGCCATGCAAGGCGTATGTCTCCAGCCCTCGCCGTGCGCGTATATCCTCACCATCGTATGATGGGGCAAAAAGAACGGGGTACCAAACTGGCCCCGAGTCATTGCCATCCATCCTCCTGCAAACCCGTGTTCGTGCCTTACTTTTCTCTTTGTCATTCTCCTCCGTCTTGCTCGGACGCCGAAACGCTGCGGCCTATAACAATTCACCATATCCCACACCGAAACAAGATCTGCTATGCTAAGACTCTGCCATGCAAAGCTTGATGTTGTGTAGCACGGCCCGTGAACCATGTACCGTTTCAGCTCTGTATGCATTCGTCACAAAGTGGCACCATTTTGTCCTGGAAATCTCGTCAATAGTCAAAATTCCTGCTTGCGCTGTCCACGCTGACCTTGTCACCCTTCACTTGTGCCCAGAACTTGGCGCGCTTGTCCTCGAAACAGACGTCGTCTTGATGTTTGGTTCAGCGCGTGGGTCGCAAAAGTATAATATCCACCTCGCAAAGGTGCCCAGCGAGTTGTCGCGAGCAAGTCTGCCAAGTCTCTCCCCCCGCCAAGGTACTATTAACTTGCTCTCTTATCCTGCCGTGGATGCCTCGTCCCTGTTCAATCTATCGTCTTGGCGATGCAGCAAGCCTTAATTCTGCCTTTCATTTGGAAATCGATATTTTCTGCGTCCCACATCAATAACAAAGTTTCCAAAGGCGGCTACCTTCATTTATCCGGAGTTGGTGTCACCTTCGATATCTTGTCAGGACGTAATCTTCAGTTTGCGCATTTGCCTCGGAAATGATGCACTTGGACTCGGATTAGCTATTCGCAGTACAACCCTGTAGAAGAAGAGACAGAAAGATAGCGGGGTGCGACACTACGAGTCGAGTATACAGACGCTCTGGTAGCTGCTGTAATCGCCATCATCCAATGCTTCTGGGTAAGAACAAAGAAGACACTTGGATATGCAAAGTCGCCCTGGTAAGAAACAACAGTCAAATTTTTGTCTATATACTTGAATGCAATATCCTTTTTTTTATTCTCTATTACTTTCTACCAGTCTCCCTCCATCTCTCACTATCCCGACGCCCTCATTTCTACCCCTCCGAAACCCCCATGACCACACCCTCGCATCCTCGTATTTCCTCCTCAGACGATCCGCTTATAGAAGAATAGTACCGTTGGACCCAGTAATGGTGTCCAACTCACCAGGCTGAATAGTACCGTTCTCAACAGCCGCAGCGTGGTGCCTAGCCAGCATACCGTAGACAGGGAGGTACTTGTCGAGGAAAGGCAGAACCTCCTTGGCACCAGGAGTAGCACGCCAATCACGCATAAGGTCGCAGACAATGGCAAACATGGACACAAGCTGAACGCCCGCCTTCTCTATGCGAGAGTTGGCAGTGTCACGAACGAGCTCCGAGTAGGTGCCGGAAGCCTCAATGTTGGCAAAGACGGAGTAGCCCTCGGCGCGCAGGGAGAGAGCGAGGAATGCAGTGCACACATCAGTGGTGATGCCGGCAACGATGATTTGCTTCTTGCCAGTGGCCTTGATGGCGGCTTGGAATTCCGGGTTATCCCAGGCGCTGGGTGGCATGTTAGCTGACTTGTCTTCCTCTTCAACGCTCTTCCGGGTAAAACTTACTTGACCTCACCCTGGCGGCGGATAAGAGGCGCATTGGGATACATCTCAAGCATCTCCTTGGGCAGAGGACCGTTGGGACCGGTATCCGCGGACGTGCTCATGATGACGGGCAGGTTGAAGAGCTTGCCAATCTCGGCGTGGGCGAGGATGTTCTGCTTGTACAGAGTGGCGTCCCAGTCGCGGGCGACACCATACAGACCGACCTGCAGGTCGAGAATGAGGAGGAGCTACAAGAAGTTAGTCGAGGTATCTTTGGGGAGTGTGAGGGAAGAAGGGACGTACAGAGTTGTTCTTGTCGATACGCTCCCAAGGAACAGCTGGGTCTTTGTCAGTGACTTGAACGGATATCCCATCGTTACTCTCTCGTCTCCATACCATCGCTAACAACAGTCTGTGCGAGCGTCAAAGCCGCAAGAGCCAAGTTGGTGAAGAACTTCATCTTGAAAAGGTAGTTGAACGGTAGTCAAGTATTGCTCTTTAGGCTGTCCTCAATCTCGAAAGCTGTGGTGGATGATTACTTTCCAGCACCACAACCCCCATCTTTATACTTTTTCCCGATCCCCCTGTACTATCCTCATCTCCTTCCTTCAATCTTGCATCTTGCATCCTCCCCTCTAATCGCCCCGCCCACCGCATACTCAATCTTCCCTTTCCCACTGGCCCCCCTCGCAATCGCAACCACAATAGCAACATCCGGGCATCGCCAAGCCAGCATCTTCCGGCCGCAACATGGAGCATTCTGCATACACCATCGCATATCCAAGCCATGACAAACCACCTTGGCCACTCTAGCTCGCTTCTCTATTGGCTCGAGCGACTTCGTTCTATGCCCAGCATAGTCACATCTAACAAGGCACGACCGCAGAAAAAAAATGCAACCCCACCGGCTACCCGGATTAAACCCCCCCTAACCACGACAACGGAGGCGGGATACTCGCCACGTGGTACTAGTCTGAGTAACTCTTTGGTAATCAAGCACCGGCGTATTGTAATACTAACATCGCAATGCTCTCTGCAAGATTCTCGATGTTGTCGGGAACATTCGCTTACTACTAGGCGACATGCGGGCCCACTCCCTCCCCCCCCCCGCTTTTTTTCTGCAGCGTTGTAAGCAGTGCTGTGGTTATTCATCAGCGTTTTGTCACCAGGAACTTCAACGTGATTGGGTGCGGATGTGTATGTATGCATGGTTACGTGGAGCAAGTAAAGGGAGGGGGGTTTTTTCTCGTGCTTTTGTCAGCGATTGGAAATTGAGGATTTCGGGGTTATGGGATGGAGATTAGGGATAGGTGTTGGTATTGGGAGGAGTATGGGTGGGGATAACGTCATTTTTGCGCTTGTGCTGGATTGGGGTATTGATAGTAGGGGGAGCGAGGGTGCGGGGTGGGGGGATTGAGATGGGGGAGAATTAAGGCAAGGGTTGGGTGCAGAGGAGTTTTGCGGGTGCAAGAGGAGATGGGATTTACGAGGCTACATGGTATTTACTGCTGCTGTTTGTCTGATGGATGCTGAGATGTCAGCACTCTGTTTCTTGCGTAAGTACGGTTATCAACGACTACTACAACAACCATCGCAACCTCCATACCTCTATCACCGCAGCCGGCAACCAGAACATCACGTACCCGGTTCCGCACCCGGTCCTCCGGCCGGCTCCGTTTCAGGCTACCAGTGCCTATACAGACGGACTTGGCCAAGCAAATTATCAAAAGCAAAAAAGCGGAAGATGCATTGCATTTTCGCGGGACAATGAGTCGTGATGGGTATGAGTAAGCAAACTACCCAGTCAACAACCTCACCGCAAGATAGCCCCTTTTCCAGACACACACACACACACACTCCAGACCTTCGAGTTGAGAAAGAAATATTGTTAATCTTATTCTTGAATCCTAAATAATATACAATCGAGCGTACCCAACCGCTCTCTCATGGAAAGTAAAAGAAGGATCTGTAAAAATCCCAAGTCTACCGAAAAGAAAAGAAAAAAGAATCACAAAGCCAAAAATCCCCCCTTCCTTCACGCAGCCAACCCATTACTCGCCAGAAACTCACGCATAACCCCATAACCCCCCGTAGCATTATAATGAAAATTAAGCCCATGCCCCGTCTCCGGCTGCACATGCACCTTCACCCCGTCCTTCTTCTCGGGAAACGCCAGATCAGCCGCCTGAATCATATTCTCAAACTGCATCCCGGGTAGCTTTCCATAGCAATTTCCGCCGCAGAAGGGTACATCTGTTTCGCCGGTGATAACGAGCACAGGGCCTGTGAAAGGCGAGGAGGAGGGGGAGCTACCGATAGTAAGCAACTCGCCTGCTGTCACAGCTTGCTTTGTCGCTTCACCGTGGATGGCGAGGTTAATGTCGTAGTTGGCGGGCTGCAGGAATACGTATTGGAGAGCGGTGAGGCTGGAGTGCGCCATGTATCCCGAAGGGTAGTTTAGCGATTGAACCGTAGTATTGTATCCGGTTAAGAAGTCGGTGAATTCGGTGGTGAAGAGCATGTTCCACATGTCGTTTCCTGCGAGATTGACACCGGCGAACTTGAGGATTTTGTCGAGGCCCGAGGCGAGGTTGGAGGCTAGGGCGTATCTGGTTGCGAGTTTCCTGACGCCGCTGTTCGAGGCATTGCCGAAGCGGAAGGGCTGGTTGAGGCGTGCGCTGTGTAGGTTCCAGCCGGCGATTACGTAGGGTAGGAATTGGCCCGAGACGGAGAAGCCGGTGAGGATGAGGCCGTCGGTGTTGGAGGGATATTTGGCGGAGAGCCAGTAGGAGAGGATGGAGCCGAAGGAGTGGCCGACGTGGATGACTTTTTTGAAGGGGCGGCCGATGGCGCAGATTGTGCCGTTGCGGAGCTGGAGGGTGAGCGAGTTGATGGCTTCGAGTGAGGCTTGGGCTTGGATTCTGCGGGGCGGACGCGGGTTAGTATGTTGGTTGCAAGTGTGCTGCTGCTAGATATTTGCTTACTCGTTGAAGGGATTTCCATGCGACGAGTTTCCGATGCCGAGACGGTCAATTGCAAGTGTGCTGTATCCTGCGTCTAGAGCAGAGTTGACGTAGCTGTAGTTGTAATTATCGTACTCCAAGTCCCAGTATGTCTTGTCGAACCCAACACCGTGAGTCAATACCTGAATGGTATCACTGCTTCCACCATCGGGCTCGCAGTACTGAGCAGATATGTTGAAGGTCTTTTCCAAAGTCTGGTATCCCTCGAGCAACTCTGCAGTATAGTTGCTTTGGAACTTGGCGAGCCGAGTTGCGAATTCGCTGACGTCCACATTGCTCTCAAGCGTCACCTCTCGAAACTTCCCTTGCCGGGAGACGATAGGAGTCTCGATGATGATGTTGGTGCAGTTCCGGGCTGTCGCAAGGCCAACGAGGGCGAGAGGAAGCAGTGCCTTGATAGAGACCATCTTCGTGACGATTAAATATTACTGTTTGTTGACCGTTGAGTAGATACCCCGAAAACTCTGGGGATTCACGAAGTACAAGTAGTCGCAAGCCTCGCGGATTTTCAAATACTGCTTTTAGCCCTCCTTTTTAATGTGTGGGTATGGCTACATCATTCATACTAGAAACAGTGGCTTCCAACTAGCTGCACTGCCCCGCCGTTGATCGACAAGGTCATTGCGCGCTACATTTGCCCATCTTAATGTTCATTTACTACTCAGGACTCTAGTCTCGGGAGGGTTGTCGATCCGGGTTCATGCCATGCGGCCAATGATGAGCTGTATGTTTTTGCTAGGCAACCCCGAGAATCATTCAACATGTTCACCTAGATGCTATGTCATGTACTGGTAAAGTACTGCCCTATTTGATGATATAACAAAGTAAAGCGAACAACTCGACCGTAAGGCTTGCGTTCATGAATTCAGCATAGGAGGTATGTGGGACCATTAGCTTGACCGGGGCCGTAGAACTAAGCCGTTACCAGTAGAGTACTAACCCCATCTCGTTTGAGATGAACCCTTCTTATGGCGGCAGCTATGTTACGTGGGCGCACTGGTCTCCTGTAACGTGCATCAATGCCGAACTTCCTGACTGGGAGAGAAACAAGGCCATTGTCCTATACGTCTACGATGAGTAAATTGCAACCACACGCCATTAAGTTTGCAAGTTGTGCTTATTTGGTAATCCGGCAGCCTTTCGATTTGGAATTGTCGTTGATCGTACTAGGATATATGGTTATGGTAGTGACCGAGGTTGGGCACGGTATCGAAATAGCAGCAACGACTACGATACGAGGACCAATTATTATCTGGTTCTGTTGAAAGTAGTCTTCTTATTCGCCAGTTGGATGCCGATCAGTTACCGGAACCTGAAATCCGGAATGCCCTGGCAGGATGCGTCTAGCCTGCCGTCCAAAGCAAATATCCTCCCGCTAGACGTCATTGCCCCTAGATATCCGGCAGATACCGCCCAGTGAACATTGGTAACAAAGGTTTTCCCTACTTCTACGAAACTACCTACCGGCTTTGGTGGCATATCTAATGGTTCGTTGGAAGTATATAGATGTTGATATGTAAGACTGGTGCCCTTTGGATGATGTTAAAGATATCTCCGTGGACGCGGACTGTTGATCGACACGGGAATACGAGATGCCGTGAAAAGGCCAGCCCCCTGATGAGAAAGACTATAGTTCTAGAACGTTGGCCGGGAATAACCAAAACTTGAATATTAATCAAATATCTCTCGCCCCTGACTAGATAATGTCATCATTGCTTGACGTTGCCTTTTCCGGACGATGAATGGAAGACATGGAGGTGAGCGCAAACACTGGCCTTCGCGGGTTACAACTTCGTATCCTAGTGTAGTATTGAGGCTGAGTACCTGCATACATACCTACGTACCCTTACACTGAGCAATGCGCAGTAGCTGGCGTGGCGTATAGAATGGCAGGACTCGCCTGCTGTTGCATTTGGTAGCTTCTGTAGTTGTTTTAAAAAATTCTCAACATAATAGCTCAAAAAACAGTTCAATCAATTTACCATCTTGAGCATCTGCTTGCTTCGCTCATATGTGTACCATGTTAATAACAGGTTGATTGCATGCTCATCGAGTTGTTGCTGCGAATAAACAAACCTCGGCAACTTCGCGCACCCCACTCACGTCGATCTCCCGTGATATACCTGGCAGTAGCATTGTACACGCAGTGTGAGCTTCCCTAGAAAAGAGTTGTCAACTAAAATAGATTCAAGCGGAACTTCTTCAGCCTCCGGGTTTCACCTATGATGAAGGCCATTCATGTGGAAAAGTTTGTCACAGTTAGTTGCCGACAGAAATTCGAGGTGCTTTTGGTCTGACATCTGGTATACAGAACATTGCGGACCTCAGGCCTTGCTCCATCCCCGGTCTGGAACGTAAACACCAAGAGGAAATTCATATCAAGATCACACATTCAGCTGTAACGCACGTCGATCTTCTGTATGCCCAAGGTCTGCACCAGAACAACCGACGTCATGTTAAGCCTCCGTTTGTGTTAGGCACAGAGTTCTCTGGCATTGTCATATCCAGTCCTCCCAAATCATCTTTCAGGCCTGGTGCCCGCGTGTTTGGGGGCGGGTTAGGTGCTTATGCTGAAGAAATCTGGGCTTCTGAAGAAGCGATACGTCATGTACCGGAGCAATGGACGAATGCTGAGGCGTGTGCGGTGGGTAGCAGTGGAGCAGTAAGTTACGGCGCATTGATTGATGTCTGCAAAGCCAAAGCTGGAGAAACTGTACTCGTGTTGGGTGCGAGTGGGGGTCTCGGAGTTATGGCGGTACAGATTGCAAAAGCTATTGGCGCAAAGGTTATTGCCGTGGTTGGTGACGAAGAGAAAGGTGCTATGGTCAGAAGTATTGGCGCAGACGCTATTGTTGACTACCACGACAAGAATTGGGAAGACCGTGTCAAACAACTAACGAAAGACGGCGAGGGCGTAGATGTAGTGTACGATGGCATTGGCGCTGTGGAGAGTGGAGTCAAGTGTTTGAAGTACCGTGGTCGTCTGGTGATTGTGGGGTTTGCAGCAAGGAACGGAAACATTGAGAACATCCGTGCAAACCGCATCCTTCTCAAGTCAATAGCAGTGCATGGTTATGTAAGTCATTCGACTAATTGTATATTCCCCAGTCTGTTACATCTGCTCACAACGAATAGCGATTTGGCGAAGATGGGCGACGGGATCCACAGAGGACAAAGGATGTATGGGATGGCTTCGTACGCTTAGTTGAGGCAGGACGTATAAAGCCGGTAGTTTACAAAGAGAACTATCATGGGCTGGAAGCAGTTGGTAGGGCGCTGGAGGATGTGAGGGCGCACAAGGCTTGGGGGAGAGCAGTGGTGAGAGTATGTGAGGACGAGGACAAGGACAAGGCGAGGTTGTGATCATCCCTGATACTGTTCCAGCGGGGTGTTTCAAGAATCGTATCCAACTGGCATAGTGAGCGGATGGCGGTCACACTTTTGCCCTCCCTTGAGGCGTATCAAAGGCGCCAAGCAAACGCGTTGGGGATGGAGCTGAGGGCTGTGCGCACGGCCCCTTGCGGCGCGCCAGCATAGCGCGGTTTCTCTGGGCGCACCTCCTCCGAGTTTCCAAGTCTCAAACAAAGCCCATTGCCATCGACGCTCGCCGTCTTCTCTCTTTTTTCCTTCTCTTCTTCCTCCACTTCGACCACAGTGCGCTGACGCAACAGCTCAATCAGCCAGCGACACCGCCTCTACGCCTGCCTGATCACCGCAGCTGCATTGCTGAGCTTTGCGACAACCCCCGTACAGACGTTCATTCATCACTTCACATTTCCCCACCACCATGGCGTCCTATGGAAGCGACCCAGAGGACGAGGAGGAGGACTTCAACCCTGCGCCCGAAATTGACGAGGATGACGTCGCCCCTCGCGGCAACGCCTCGCGCAGACCCGCCGCTGAAGATGACGATGATGAAGGCGATGGGATCAACATGACAGGCAACGACGACGAAGATGAAGAAGGTGGCGGCATAGATGTCGACGATGACGACGACGACGATGAGGATGACGATGAGGACGAAGAAGACGACGACGACGAAGATGTTGTCGTACGTTTCATGAGGCAATGCCCCCAAAGTTCTAATAGCTAATCTTTCCCAGGCTCGACCTGCCAAACGGAGAAAGAAGGCGAAGCGCAATATGTTCATTGATGTCGAAGCCGAAGTCGACGAGGACGAAGAAGAAGAGGAAGAAGGCGACGACGAAGGTGTCGATGAAGTGCATCCAGATGACCTCCTCGAGCCCACGGGCGCCGACCTCGATGACCGTCACCACCGCGAGCTTGACATGCGCCGTGAGGTCAACGCTCAAAGGGACGTTGAAGAAATCGCAAAGGAGTTTGACGAAAAGTACAGGCGGAGGGAAATGCAGAGCGCCCGTCGCGGTGGTGCAGGCGCTGTACCTCTGGCGCTGCCCACGGTTGACGATCCGTCCATTTGGGGTTGCAAGTGCCGTCCTGGAAAGGAACGCGAGATCATCATGGCAATTCAAAAGCGCCTTGACGACAAGATTCGCACCGGCCAGCCTGTGCAGGTCTACTCGGCCTTTGAACGGGGTCCTACAGGACCACAGTCTGGGTTCCTTTACGTTGAAGCCGACTCAAAGCAGGCTGTTGTGGAGCTTATTGAGGGTATCCAGAATGTCTTCATGGGCTCTGGCCAGTTCTCGATCCCCCCGAAGGAGCGCCCGGATCTCCTCCGAAAGAAGAAGCGTGCGCCATTGGAGGTTGGAAAATTTGTGCGCATGCTGCGGCCACCCACATACAAGGGCGATCTTGCAAAGGTTGTCGAAGTCTCGACCAACGGTCTCGACTGTGTCGTACAACTCGTCCCACGTCTGGACTATGGCCTTAACGACGATGCAAACGCTGGAGACAACAAGCGCAAGCGAGGCTTCTTCGGACGACAAACTGAGCGCCCCCCTGCGAAACTGTTCAATGAAGCCGAGGCGAAGAAGCGACACATGAAGCATCTTAGCATGACTGGATCGGGCAACCAGAGGGCATACACATACAAGGGTGAAGACTACCAGAATGGCTTTCTCATCAAGGAAGTCAAGGTCAACTGGGTCAGCACTGAGAAAGTCAATCCCAAGATGGAGGAGCTGCAATTCTTCTCCATTCAGAATGCTGACGGTACCGAGACCATGGATCTTCTAGCTGTTCAGGCTGCGCAAAAGGCCGCCGACTCCGGATCTGCTTTTGCCGCCGGCGATAACGTTGAGATCTACACTGGCGAACAAAAGGGCATTCGCGGTACGACTGTCACCGTAACGGGCGATATTGTCACGCTGCGAGTGAGCGAGGGCGACCTGAGGGGCAGAAGGATCGACGCTCCTGTCAAGACACTGCGAAAGCTGTTCCGTGATGGTGACCACGTCAAAGTCATTGGTGGAAGCAAATACGTCGATGAAGTTGGTCTCGTTACAAGAATCAAGGACGACAAGATCACGCTGCTCTGCGACTCGACACAGCAGGAAATCACCGTCTTTAGCAAGGACCTGAAGCGTGCTGCGGACTCGGCAAACGTCGGCGCCGACTCCAACTTTGACCTCTACGACTTTGTACAGATTGAGTAAGTTGTGATCTGAGATTGACAGGATATTCAGCTAACATGTCATAGTGCTTCCACCATTGGTTGCGTTGTTCGTGTCGACCGCGAAGTTCTGCGAATTGTCGATCAACAAGGCGATGTTCGCACACTCCTCCATACCCAAGTCTCACAGATTGTCGGCCGAAACAAACACGCAGTAGCGACCGATCGCGACGGATCTGAAATCAGACATGAAGACGACGTCAAGGAGCACGGCGGTGAAGGGCGACAAGGCAAGGTTCTGTACATCCACAGAGGTACACTCTTTGTCCGAAACCGTGAACTTGTCGAGAATCAGGGTATCTTTGTGGTGCGCAGCAACAACGTAGTCACCATGGCGGCAAAGAGCGGTCGTGCTCAAGCTCAAGGTCCTGATCTCAGCGGTATCAACCCTGCTCTCAACGCAGGCGCAAACGGGAACGCGAGTGCCATGCCGCCACCGCGAGCTTCTTTTGGCCGTGACAAGCTAATTGGCAAGACTGTGACGATCCGTAAGGGCGCTTACAAGGGTCTTCTCGGAATTGTTAAGGATACGATGAACGACGAAGCGCGCATTGAGTTGCACACCAAGAACAAGCAGGTTTCCGTAAAGAAGGAGCTTCTCACAGTCAAGGATCCCATTACCGGTGCCAGCATGGACATTGGCGGCAAGTTCCCCAACCGTTCGCGCGGTGGGTACTCGGGCGGTCAGACAAGCTATGGAGGCGGCGGTGGTGCATCTGGTGGGCGAACTCCTGGATGGGGCACCTCTGGTGGTGGTCGTACGCCTGGCTGGGGAGGCAGTGGCAGCGGAGGAGCTGGTGGCCGCACACCAGGCTGGGGAGGTAGCGGAGGCGCTGGTGGGCGAACACCCGGCTGGGGTGGAGACGGCGGACGTACAGCCTATGGCGGAGGAGACGGTTCACGAACTGCTTATGGTGGTGGTGATGGCTCTCGAACAGCATACGGCGGCGCAACTGCCTATGGCGGTGCGACATCGTATGGCGGAGGAACGGCATATGGTGGCAACGACGGCAACCGTACATCATATGGTGGTTTCAGTTCGGGAGGGCGAACACCCGCATGGGGTGGATCACCTGGCAACGCCGCCTCGAAGTCGGGAGGTCTGTCTGCTCCTACGCCTGGGGCATACAACGCCCCTACTCCAGGTGCGTATGCCGCTCCCACACCTGGCGGATATGGTGCATACTCTGCACCTACACCGGGTGGCCCACCGATGGACGCTCCTACGCCAGGCAACTACTCTGCGCCGACACCAGGAGATAGCTCTGGTGGCAGATACGGTGCTGCTACCGCACCTACACCGGGTGGTTGGGACGTCGCAACGCCAGCGCCAAGTGGTGACCCAGGATATGATTAGGGTGGTGAATCTGTGAAATCTTCGATGATTGTTCCTAAAAGGGGGGTTTACACAAAATTGTAGGGCGTGTGCTTTTTTATTTGCCACAAGCATGTGCCCTCGCTCTTTTTGCCGAATCTTGGGATTTATTAATTGCATTTCTGGAGTCATAGAGTAGGACAACACAAGTCTTGAGTCGAATCAAATGACTTTATTCCGTGATACACATAAATGCATAGTTGTATTGATATGTGCACATGGGGCGTGGCAGCTGTAGTGTGATTGGCAAGGCTGCGACGTGCAAATGTTGCTGCTTCGAGACGGCTGCCAAGGCGTCAGAAAGGGTTGGGTCCCATGATGCCAGCACTCGACCATGTGTTTATTTTTAGGGCTTCATAGCAGTTCCAGACTCCTTTTACACCACCCACAATGATGCAAACTCGCTGGAGAAAAAGGGTTTTTCTGGGGCGATTCATGGTCCAGTGTCTGGAGCCCCACACTAGGCCGCGGCAATGACGTGCGATGGGCCGAAAGATAGTTCTAGTACGATGCATCTAACCCAACAAGCACGACACGATTGTCACGAGTGACGCGTTCCTCGTATGTGAGGCTCTTTAGTGGAGAGTGCCCTTTTACCAGCAGGGCTTTTATCTTTTTTTCCCCGCCTCGACCGTAGTAAATACTACTACAATACATACATGCCGCACATATATCCCCCACCGCAGTTTGCTTATAGGGTACCCAACTTTATACACTCGCTTAAGAGGAGGGTCCAACTATGATCGCGGAAAGACGCCAAAACGCGGAGAGCAGTCTTGATAGATTCATAGATCTGATCTCAGATCCTTTTCAGTCTCAGGTAAGTATCCAGCCAGCACATACGCGACGTCGCCAGCACCATACTCACCCCACCACAGGTTCAAGAGACCTCTATCTACGCCGCCGTCGTGTATTCCTTTGTCGTATCAGGCTTGTTAGTCCTCACATTTTGCTTCCTCCGACCGCGCAACTCGAGAGTATACGCCCCACGAGCCAAACATGCAGATGAGAAACACCGGCCGTTACCGCTGGGCAACAAGCCATTAAGTTGGCTCTCTGCCGTCCGGAATGTCCGGGAACAAGACTTGGTGGATAAAATCGGGCTGGATGCCATCATCTTTCTGAGGTTCATGCGTATGATTCGAAATATATTTTTCGTATTGACCGTTGTCGGCTGCCTGATCCTGATCCCCGTCAATGTCGTTGGAGGGTCGCCCTTCTACAAGCAGTGGAGTTCAATTTCAACATTGATGAAATTCACACCACAGTATATTTTCGGAAGGAAATTCTGGGCATACGTTGCTTTCGCATACATGATCCAGGGCACCGTGTGCTTCTTTCTATGGAGGAATTATAGTGCTGTTCTGAAGCTCCGACGTGCATACTTCGACACCGAGGAGTACAAGTCTAGTTTACACGCCAGGACACTTTTGGTACGTATGGCATAAATTAGTAATCATATTTGTGCTGACTTGAAAAAGCTCACACACGTTCCACAATCATATCGAACCGACGCCGGACTTGTGAAACTCATCGAACAAGCAAAACCGATTGATAACGCTCCTCGGGCAGTCATAGGCCGGAACGTAAAGGAATTACCAAAATTGATCGAAGACCATGACCAGACGGTTCGCGACCTCGAGAAACATCTCGCTAAATACCTCTCCAATCCGAACAGACTACCCGCGAGACGGCCGACTTGCAAACCAGCGAAAGATGACCAGGGAATTCATGGCAAGGGCGAAGTGGACGCAATCGACTATCTTACCGAGCGCATCACAAGATTGGAAACAACAATCAAGGAGGTGAGAGAAACTGTGGATATGCGGAATCCTATGCCTTATGGATTCGCATCCTACGAACACATCGAAGACGCCCACGCAGTCGCTTTCACTGCCAGGAAAAAAGGTCCTGAAGGATGCGATGTCTATCTTGCCCCAAAACCACACGATTTACTCTGGCAAAATCTTGCCATGTCACGAAGGACCCGAACGATGCGCGCATTTTGGGATGGCCTGTGGATCGTAATATTTACGGTCGCTTTTATTATACCCAACATGCTCACATCGGTTTTCTTGTCCGACTTTTCACATCTGGGGCTGGTTTGGCCTACTTTTCAAGCAAATCTCTCTGCTCATCCGACAAGCTGGGCCATCGCTCAAGGTATTCTGGCACCGCTGGTACAAACTCTCATGTATATGGGAGTCCCCGTAGTCTTTCGTCGCCTGTTCACGCACTCTGGCGATGTTTCAAAAACATCTCGAGAACGCCATGTAACGGCCCGGCTATACTCGTTTTTCGTTTTCAACAACCTCCTCGTTTTCTCAGTCTTCGGGTCAACTTGGCGCTTCGTGGCAGCAGTCATCGCAGCTAAAGATCAAGGGGTATGGGATGCTATACGAGATAACCATCTCTTCACGAAGATCATGTCGGGGCTGTGTAACGTGTCCACATTTTGGCTCACTTGGCAGATGCAACGCAATCTCGGTGCGGCGATCGATCTTTCACAAGCATGGGTGTTACTCTGGAGCTGGATCCAGCGCAAGTGCTTCTCGCCAACCCCACGAGAACTCATCGAGCTCAGTGCACCGCAGCCATTTCCCTATGCTGAATACTACAACAACTATCTCTTTGTGACTACCGTCGGTCTGTGCATGGGGGCACTCCAACCGGTCATATTTCCAGTTACGGCATTCTACCTTGCCATGGACTGCGTATTCAAGAAGTACCTACTTCAATATGTCTTCATTACCAAGACCGAGTCCGGAGGCAGATTCTGGCGTCTTCTAGTCAACCGCACGCTCTTCGCCGTAGCTCTCGCCAACGCCGTGATCGCCTTGGTGGTTGGCGCCAACGGAATAGGGTCGATCGATCTTAACTCTCTTCAGGCGGGCACGGGCAACATGCTCTTCGCCATGGTGCCTCTTCCATTTTTCCTACTTGGCTTCAAGTGGTATTGCAAACGAAGCTTTGATGAAAAGCTGTCGTATTTCTCTACACGGCCCTTCTCGGATGCCGAAGCCGCACATGCCACTGATGATCGCAAGCAAAGAAAGACAAGTAGACTCTTGACTCGTTTTGGTCATCCGGCGCTTTACAAGAAGCTACTGACGCCCATGGTGCATGCTAAATCACAGCACTTGCTCAAAGAAGTATACAGCAATCGCTCCGGCACAGGCCGCGACATCTTTGATACGGCGCAACGTCACTCAATGGACCGCGCCATGCCCGCTACACCTGGCTACGAGCGCTTTGGCGATTTTGTCATGACAGAGATGGACTCGGAGGAGCCAGGCAAACAGACCACCAACGCCGATATCCCCCACGTAGAAATCGTGGCAGAATCCGAACTCGACTTTGAAAACTTCAAGAAGCGCGCTGAGTTCCGCGATGCATTCGGTGGCGACGGCGAGCTATATGGAAGGCCCGAAGACGCCTCGCGCCCGGGCACCCCTTCGACATTTACTACATTTACGGAATGGGGCCCTTATGGCCGGCATCGGGGTTCTGCACCCGCATCGCCGTCATCAAGTCGCCCGTCATCAAGTCGCACGCGTCTTGGTGATGGCGGTGATTTCGAGCAGGGGACGTCGTATGCTAAGGGGTACCAGCGGCCACCGCGGCCGGTAGAAGAGGGCTATGACTATGAAGATCTAGGTGATGATGCTGACGCAATGCTGCATGGTGTGCACAGCCGTCAGCCTCTTGTTGGCACCACTGAGAACAGACACAGCAATGACAACAACGCCCCAGGTCATCATGGTCTTGGTACTGCTCCTGTTGCTGCGCGTGAAGATACAAGTTATGAGCGCTTTAGACACACACGGTAGTTTTCTTTCTTTCTTTCTTTTGTACATATAATTAGAAGCATTATATACTTGGGGTCAGTAATACCGAAATTCAAGGCGCACGCGTGCAGCGATTGAGCGACCGAGTTTTTTGTTTCTCATCGATCTCTCACAATTTCTCCCGGATAAAGTACACTACTATGGAAAGTAGGCCTATTTATCCTGTTCTTGGAAAATGTACTGCACATATATACCTGCCAAGTATACGCGTGCGTGTGTGTGTGTGTGTGCCCATGTGGCTAAGCAAGATATAACAATGTGTACATGGGGGAGGGGGGGCGGGTAGGCTTAGCAAATGCCATGTGGTTTTTTTTTTCAATTGACTTGGAAGATTCGTATAGTAGAACTGGAAGTAGGGTTCTTTTTTCGGTAAATGTGTTTTGTGGAGAGTAAGTTGGACATTACATTATTATCACGGGTTAAGACCTAAATCAGCTTTCCGCCAAGTCCCATGTGTACTTATAGTTATCGCCAAGCATCATACGGACACCGAGAGAGAGAGGAGAAGAAGAAGAAGAAGAAGAAGAAGAAAGAGAGGAGGTTGGGGTCAACGAAACAATACGCCACGGATACATCATCCCGTTTCCCTTTTTTTTCCACCTACCTTTTCTGACCTTTGCCCGTCCTTTGCCTACTGCTTACCGCCCCCCCCCTCCTCACGTGTACTTGAAAGTTTATACCCCTCAAAAAAAAAAGAAGAAGCTTATGCAGTATACTCGGTAAAGTTTTTTTCTTTCCCAGTATAACTCACGATTATCAATCGATCTTCGTCAGTGCGCCCGCCCCGCTGTTTGCTAAAACAGGGTCTTACACTTATATATGTATGCAAGAAAACTCTGTGTTTTTTTTTAACGTGCGCGTTCAGTGAGAAAAGTGGCAGATGCGTAGGTCGAGTAAGCAAGTGGACGTCACTGATGTCAGCGGAAAGTCTTGAGTTGGGATAGCTCATCTTCTTCCGCCACATGATTACTACGGACTAAAAAAAAGTATGGAGGCGGGATTGGGGAGTTATCCGTACTCCATTTGGCTGATGAGGGTTTTTTTTGTCTTGCATTTGCCCTGTTTGCCGGTCATCTCGTGTGTGGCTTGTCTTGGTTTTTGTCTTGGTGGTTTGTCGGCGGGCAAATATAGTAAGTGACGCGCAATGGATTGGGTAGGTGTTGCGAATGTGGCTGACTGCGTGGACGTGTGTGCCAAGGAATCTTGGGGGGTATCGTGACACGGGGTGATAGGAAGACGGGATCGAGGAGAGGTGAAGAAATGTGCCGTGTTGATGGTACTAGTAGGGCTGTGTAAACCGTGCGCTTGGGTACTAAAGTATGTGCACAGCTGGAGTGCCCAAACTACCGGTCGCTTGGATGCATGCAAGACCAGCTGTTTGGTACCTTCTGCATTGCGCAGCTAATGCGCGCGACGGGCGATGTTCTAGTGGCTTTGCATTCAGAGTCCACAATGTTCTGGTGTACTTGGCTTACCAAATCACCATGTTCTGGTATTCGTTTTGCTTTACAAGCACAGCCCGCTTTGGGGATCTAGTCTTGCCCATACAAACAACAAGCCCGGGACGAGGCGCTAAGTTGTGCGAATAAAAGCGCAATAGAGAAAGATTCGCAGATACAGTGCTTGTGCTTGGTGGGGTTTTTCGCCAATGCTCTACCAAGACTTGGTCGGAGTAAGACCGAATACGAAAACGCATTGGAGGGCTTGGTATTTGTTTGGAAGGGGACCGGGGGCAGTGCGTCGGTATGTTTGTATAGCAGTGTGTACGGTATGTAAAACGGAGGGAAACGGAAGGGCTTGGTACGGTGGTTGTAATGCGATGGAAATTAGAGTGTAGTATGTAGACGAGTGGGTTGGGGTAGGGCGGGTACTTTTTTATCCTTTTGAATGTTTCCGTTCATTGTCTTTGCTGAGAACGGAACGCGAACAGTTTGTATGATCTGCGATTGTGGACGATACAAACGTCATTATCGAACGATTTTTACACAGATTGGAGATCTATCGAGGATGATTGATTGGGTGGGGTGAGTATGGTTATTTCTGTAATATACGGTGGGGCGGGACGACCGGTTTGCTGGGCGGAGATGGGGGAAGACGGTGTGAGAGATACGGTAATCTGAGAGAACAGGCCAAGCGGTCAGCAGGATAAAGGAACAAACAAGGCACGGAAAACTTCCAAGTGATCCTAGAGATTTCCACTTGGCGTAATCAAGTTCCAGCAAACGAACTCAAGAATCGGGTACGAAAGGGACGGCTAGTTGATGTCTAGGGTCCGAGCCCAAGACCGAGAGAGAGGATGCGCAATTTGTATGCCGTCTTAGTGTTAAAGCTTTGAAGCAAAACGAAGGCCAGCAACCAAGAGCAAAGCCAAAGGATCCAAGAAAGTTTATATTGATATGGTGGCCAAGCCAAGAGCAGAAGATGACATTGGACGTGGTCTGGTTGGATAAAAGGTTGTAATTGTTTCGAAACACGGACCGGCATTGACGCACAGAAGAGGTAGAGAAACTAACTAGCAGGCACGAGCAAATGGATTCGCCTGTTTTTTGAGCAGAATGACTCGAAGAGAATGCTAATTGCAAATGTGGAGGCGTCGCGTCGTCGCCTCGACTTTGTCGGACCGTTGTTTAGCTCCTGTGGCTTCCTATGATGTTGCGTTGACATGTCTCGTATGCAAATTGCGCCTTACATCTATTTTACTTACACGGCGGAGAGACATACGGGCAAATTGCTATGCGTTATATCCGATTCAAGTCAACCGAGTTTGCTGGGGGGACGCTGCTTCACTCAACCATGGCGTTGGCGCCAGACAGAAGAGTGCCATTAGCATTGAAGGAACCCTTCTCCTCCCTTTTTTCGAGTCTCGTCATGCGCCTGGTGCGTAGCGCCCGACAGTTTTCGCTACTCGATGGTGGCGCGAATGGCGTCGCTGGTCCGCGCAGTGCGGCGGGTGTCAGTCGGTAGGATCCGGGCGCCTTACCACCGTTATTTTGTGCTTGTGAGCATGAGCTAGTAGCCAACACCTGCCACGCCCTTCCAGCCGTGGGGCCCAATACCTTTTAGTACATGTATGCGCTCCTTGGCAGCGGAGGTTGACACTTGCACCATGGCGGCCAAGCGCTGTGGCTGGGTTTTGGAGAGAGGAGGAGATAGGTCGGTAGATGGAAAATGACCTGTTTACCAGCAATCATCAGTCCATAACCCACATTACCAAGCCGCGTAGCGCTCCGCTGTAACGAATCCTCTGTCTCCAGGTTTCTCCGCAGTAAACTGGACCCATGTTCATAACGGTACGGGATGGGACGATGGGATTGGACGGGAATGAGGGATGAGCGATCTGTCGGCCTTGGGCACACATGTCCCATTCGGCCTTATTGCCGCTCGGCGACGTTCCCAACCATGGCGGCGGCGACGGGGTGGGAGGACAGGCAGGCTAGCCCCCTGGCTACGGGTTTTGGGTGTTTGGGGTAGACCAGCACGATGTGATGCATCCGCGGACAAAACGTGGGAGCCAAGCAACGTAGCCTAAATCTGGAATCTTTGTAGCCTGATTCCTCGAGGGAGATGAACCCTTTTCTCGCCAAGCCGTTTGAAGGGTCAAGGCGACTATGGGTTTCAGGCCCAGGAGGATGCCAGCGGGATGAGGCTAGGCCGGAGCTTGTCATGGGCATATCTTATTCTGAAGTGGAGTGTGCACGAGGCAGACAGAGGGCATGACGACGGTTTGCGCGTTGTTGCGGAGAACGATTGATGGTGACCACAAAAAAAAGAGGAGCTCCTGTGGTTCCGATTCGGTTCTGGTATCTGCACTGTCCGTCCCATCTGTCATCAGCACGGAGTCCCGCTGCCGGGACAAACGGCTGTGCAGTGATCTCACCCTCGTACATATCCGTACTCGTACTCGTTAGTCGCCATGCACAGCCAAGCCTTCTCCGCAAGACTCCCTTGTCTGCTAGCTGCCACCTGTGGCTGGCGTCACCGTCTCAAGCACGGCCTTCGACAAGCCCCCTAAGCAACTGTCGCAAGACTTGGCCTCTTGGAGCGCATGTGGCTACGTACTAGACACAGGTCGTCGGCTTGGCACTTACCTGTCTCGGAGATTTTACCCTCATAGCTGCCGGGTGGCAGAAAAGCTGCGAAAACGTCCCAGAATATTGCCTCTTGTTATCAGACTTGGCCCAAGAGGAGCCTTCTTGGCTGCCAAAACCCGTATCGAAGGATGCGTTACAGATCAGCATACGCCGGGCGTGAACGGAGCTGTGTGTGTGGCTTGCATCCAAGGCAAAACGCACAACTGGCATTTGGTGCCTGGAAACGCATATCCAGCATACCCCTAATCCTTAAAATCAGATGTTTTTTGTGAGACTGACACACTGTTAGCCCGTTTGATCTGCGTCGACTCCTTCTTAGGAACCAGGCACGCTCTTGACAAGCTTTTTTGGCCTGAACCTCGCTTGCTTCACGGACTTATTCTTCACTAGCCCATTCTCGATTCGTCACACGCCTTTGACAGGATGTTCCTGTAACGCCCGAGTCCCTTGCGTAGGCTATTGTTCATACCCGGACAGGGGGGCGTGCGCGCCTAGATCGTCAGCACTAAATTGTTCACCAGATGTCGTAGACTCTTGTGTACTTGTACTTAAATAACTTGCAGTCCGTATCTTCTGTCCAGCATAAAACAAACTTCATACTACACAGTCGATCACTCCTTTCTCTTGCTTATCAGCCTTCTACAGCATATCAGTCTAAACTTAGTATTACACTTACCCATACAACACACACACACAAACACATTCACTATGCTTTTCAAGACCCTCATATTCGCTACCACTGCTTCGGCAACCTGCCTTCACGGCCTCTCCATGTTCAAGCGTGCTGAGGGCGCTGAGGTTGCCAAGTTTGGATATGGTCCTACCAACGGTCCATTCAACTGGGCTTCTCTCGCTCCCGAGAACGAGGCCTGCAAGACCGGCAAGAACCAGTCTCCTATCAACATTGGTAAGTTCCACACGCTGACATCGGCACTCAGACGCCTTTTTACTAACACTCAACCTTCAGATGCTACCATTGCCAAGGCTGCCTCTAAGCCCCAGATCTCCGTCCCCAAGGTCGATGAGGTCCTCTTTGAGAACTTGGGCACGACCATTGAGGTCGTAACCAACGGCACCACCACCATCGGCAATGACTCTTTCCAGCTTGTCCAATTCCACATGCACACTCCCTCCGAGCACCACGTCCTCGGCGAGTACTACCCTCTCGAGCTCCACATGGTTCACCAGGGTGTCGCCGACAACACCAAGCTGGCCGTCGTTGCCCTCATGTTTGAAGTCTCCGCCGGAAGGTCCTCTTCCATCATCTCCTCCCTCTCCTCTTCCCTCTCCAAGATCTCCACCCCCGGCAGCACCACCATGATCAAGGGCGGAATCAACTACAGCGACGTCATCTCTACCATTGAGAGGTCCGACGTCCTCACCTACTCTGGTTCCCTCACCACTCCTCCTTGCGCCGAGGGTGTCACCTTCATGATCGTCAAGCAGCCCCTTGCCGTCAGCGTCGCCGACTACACTGCCATCAAGAAGATTGTCAAGTTCAACTCCCGCTTCATCCAGAACACTCTTGGCCAGGACAACATGCTCCATGTCGGCGCCATCTCTGGTACCGCCAACGCTACTAAGCCCGCTGCCGCTGCTCCTGCCGCCAACGCCTCCGAGGTATGTGTTTAAACAACTACGCGCTTGTTTGCCTGTAAGACAAACTTCCCTTCATCATTCTTCCCCTTCGCTCTCCCACCCAGCATAACATGTTCCTGACATTCCTCCCTTCTCAGCAAAAACCCGAGACCAAGCCCGCGACCGGCGCCTACAAAGCCGATATCCACATCTCTGTTAACATGCCTAACATGCGAGTATGTTTGCTCTTCTTTTTTCTGCCTCTCACTACTACTATTACCACTCATACAACATCATACTGACTCATCAACCAACAGGGCTCCTACGTCAAGCGCTCCGCCTAAGCGTCCTGGAAACCCTTCTCCATAATATCTATTTTTCCTTTAACTCTCTTACTGTGGAGTTCTCGCTGTCCAACAATACTCACTTGGTCCTAGGACATGGGAAACTCATCTCTTTTTTTCCTCTTTACCTTTTTTCCTTTTACTATACACATCATGTAACTACTACGCATAGAAGGGAGACACACGGATACTACCCCCAATCGCCGCTACCGCATCAGCAGCACCAGATATGCACGCATTTACTCTTTTTTACATACCCCTCATCAGCATCTTTGTTGTTTTTTCTGCCGCTTGAGAATCGATGTTGGTATGCCTTTCGGGAGAAAGGGTTAGAGTGCGTGTCGCTTTTTAAACTTGTACATAGTATGATTTTTACGAACAGATCGAAATGGAAGATACCATACAATACCCCCCCCCCTTTAACCTTTTTACCTTTTTACTTGCCTCTCTTTCTCTAATTCGATATTGTGAACTCCCTACTTCGCAAATTGATATTTTAACCGACTGCATTGGCGCATACAAATCTACCACCACCACTCTAACTACTCCTACTCCTACTCCTTTCACACAAAGCCACCCGCAAGCCACACCCACACCCCTGTTTGACCCTCCACCTCCCCCATCCACTCTCCCTCCACACATAAAATCCGCTCCTCTATTGAAACCCAACCCAGCATATCACCTAGCATCTACTAACCCGGCAGTCGCACGAGCATCCCGTTACACCCGCGCCCCGCACCCCCCTCCCCTTCCAAAAGCAAAAACCAAGAATAAAAACAAAAGACACCGGTATGTCACCCACGCCCAACCTTAATACAACGCCCAACGATGACAAATGCCCCCCCCCC